TCACTGTTCGTTCACAGCACACCATAATCATTGGTTCACGCTCGATTGGCTTGTAAAATAAGAAAGCAGATTCTGAGAAATCGATATTATATTGACACATCGATTAATCGGTTGCTTGGTTTCGAAGGGCTGAATAATTACTGTGCCAACATTGACTAAAGGATTGCCTGTAGAATATTAATTAGTGAAATCTTAATTAATAAATGATGAAGGTAGAATACACTTTGTTATCCATGATGTTTCATTCTCTAGTGTGTACGTAAAATGTATCTAAGTTTTTTTCCAAGTGTATGATTAAATCAAATAGTTTTCCTCATATACCTGTAATATCTTTCCCGTTAAATTGTATTCGTCACAGAAGGAAACAATGTATTAATAAATAATCTTTCAACGCAATATGTATTGTGATAAGAGTATGTGTATGTAAAGGAAAGATGTTGTAAAAAATGTAATAACTGTAGATGCAGGTCACCACGGACTTACCCGCCTTTACGCATATTTATCGACATTCTCGACAGTACCTTATATGCAAAGGTCTTGTTGATATCGCTGTTGACGATAAGACTGTCTTTACAACTGTACTTGGTCTTTTCGTTATTTTTCACAAATGCCAGATATTTTAGAGCATTTACACTGTATTCTTAAATCGTGTGCAGGTAATTATTATCTACCGACCTCACTCAAAAATGGACCTTTCACACATTGAAACTTGGAAAGCCGTTACATGTCCATAATCCGAAACATAGTAAAACACTTCACACGGTCATTATAGCAATTCAATTACCTCAATCAACTAAATACAGTTGTATATTTTACTGTTAACTTGCACATTAGCAGACGTTAGTTAAATTTTATTTTGTAAAGCGCAGTTTCAAATTCGTCTATTGTTGTCTTTTTCGCATCGTAAATAACTACAGGCGCCATTTTTTAACGTCTTACCTAGACTAGCCTTCTATGGCTATGAGGTCATGTTTGACTCAACCTACGCAACGATTACTAGCTTGATAAGCTTTTTAGTAATTAAATACTGGTTCTAAAAGGACAAACTTGCCCTATTTGTGAAGTAAGTATAACTATGGGTACTGTTTATGTACGCCGTATTAGGTCCATTTATTATTAAGGTACATTCTACGATAAATATCGTGTCCAATCCAAATCTTACAGTAAATGTAATAGTTAACCGCCTTTTGGAAATCATACGTATTATTTTACCTACTTGAATCCATATTTCCCCTCCGCAATGAATCTCCACCGACCGCAAAGTCAACGTCATCGTGAGTAGTCGCTCGTCAGTCATGATTTGTTTAGTAGTTCTCAAATAAAACGATGCAAATTGCGAACCTCGATTCTCAATGACATGTTATTATCATTGCAATGAGCTGAATGATGAACAAATCTAAGTTATTATATTCGACGTCTCATTTGACTCTGCGTTTCAAGTGTTTCAAGATGCAAATCAATAAATGTATTTTTCTTCAGGTCATTGAACAAATTTTTACCTACCTACGTCTTATGTAACCAATTAAATAAAATTGAAACGTCCTTGAGTGGGTAGTGACGTGTGAATGTACCTACCTATATACATAATAGCTATGAAGAATTTAATGGGTATAAGTCTAATGGCCGAAGCCTGTAATCCGACACTTGATGTCGGTAAGTTTATGATCCGTTTATGATTTCTTTGGCTATAACAGTTTGGCAATCTAGCATTTTAGAACTTGAAATGTGGGTTATCGTAATTATTTATTAGAAACCATTTTGGTTCAATTAATATTTTACTGCAGTTACTTTAAAGGTATTTTTCCTAACTGGAATCAGTTAAATTCATTTCTTATGTCTCAATACAGTAGAAGTTTCCAACATAATCTCTTCCCTTTCATCGCAGCACTTAACCAGTGCAGATGAAAGTACAGTTAATAAACCAAGTAATTCCTACGTACAATAGCGAAGTCGTATTCAAATCATATTTGCTAATATAAAAGGTAAACTTGGCTTAACGGTACACACCATAATAAGAAGTATGGTGAAACCGTTCGGGCCAGTGGACCGCGGCCATTTTTGATCCAGCGACCTCACACGCATGGCAGACTTTTTTGACGGATTGTAAGACCTAAATTGTGTGCGTGCGCCTACGCTAGACCCAGCTGTGAGTCACAGTTGTTGGACTTCAGTACCTACCTACGTAGAGTCGTAAATTAAACCAAGTATGGAAAAATGCTCAAAGGATTCTTAGTCATCCCAAACCGTACCATTAGTAACGCAACAGGCAATGCGGTTGATTCTAGTATACGTAAACCGTCCATGTCACTATGCCTATTTTATTTCCGTTTCATGTAATGTAAGTTGTAACTAGCTATAAAACAAAACTAAAAACTGACTTTACGAGCTATTTAAATGCAAAACATGCTTTAATGATATTGTAATGCCCGCAATAAACGATTTGGAATTTATAATTCAAACACTGGCTATTCGGAAACGATTACATACAAGCAATATGCCAATAAATAAACAATAACTTCGAATAATCCTTTCACTATAAAGACAATAAAAACTTGAGACGAAACATCCCGAAGCAACGATTGCACTTACAGACTAAATATTTACATAACGAATGTTTTGTCTTGATTCAAGCATGCTGTAATCTATTTGAATAACGGTTCTGCAAATGTCATTCCAATGTTAACCAAAAGAATGTGTTATGGTTGCTACACGTGACAATGATCAAACATGCAAAATATCATCGTTGGGTATCGTTTCAATTAACGCGGATGGCCATATGGTTTGACGAACTGACGCAATGTTAACGACCGCACCAGACCTTATGCTATTGATATTATTTGACGTTGTTATAACCGAATACGCCTCCGCAAATTAAACAGAACAAAAATCTCAAGCCAGCTGAGGTAATGGTACCTATTGTGAGAAACAGAAAGAAATGTTCCCATTACATTTCTTTGTATACATTTCTTTTTGTCGAGATGAGATTATACATATTATGTAGATGAGCTCGGTATCAAATAAGACAACGTAGCAAGCACAAAAACAAGAATACTTATATATTTAAGTAAAATCTCTAGTAAACGATTGATTCACTACAAAACCAGATGTCCAAGTTGCTACATCTAACAAAGACATGTCATATGACAGATGTCGATCTATGAAAGATTGCCAAATAAAGTAACCTGAGATAAGCCCAAAGAAACAATAGGAGTCCACTTTGACACTATTATAACATTAGTCGTTAACCTTGTTATCACCGCCATTACACAGCCCATATATTTCCACTTCTTTAGTCGGGCGAATATATGACGCTTAAATGTCATTTTTGTCCAACCATTTGGGACCATTTAAATCAATATCTACTTCTTCAATCGACTCAGTGTCATGAGGTTTTTATTCTGTAATTAAAATAATTTCTTAATCGTTTATAGGTCATATCTAGCTAGGTTATCTATGTAAAGCTAAACCCATCTGGTGTGAAGCCAAGAATAGCAACTAGTTTTTTATGCGTTTTTATTACATTGCTCCGTGGGTGTTAAACATTATTGTTTTGTTTATTTCAGTCTGTATATTCATACGGAGTTGCAAAACATAAAAGCTGAGTTGTTTTTCGATTTTTATTATCAGGTGCATCAATTCCCAGATGAATATATAATACTATAGAAATATTCGCCTATTTTTATCATATCGTTGCTCTTATGTCTTTTTTGGTTGAAAAGTTTGTTTGTAAGGCTGGTCTTCAGGAGCAATGGTACTTATTTACCAGAATATCATGAATGCGTACAAAGTTCTGATCAGATGCAGTACTTATACGTAATACAAAGTGACACATTCCTCAATTGAACGATGGCGTGCCGCGAGATCTCAAATTAGCGCCAATTTATGCCTCCGGCTGACTCACGGGCGAGGCTAGGTGTTCGTATGAGTATAATCCTCGCACAATATCAGCCCAGTACTCTAAATCGAATCAAACATACATTTAATGATTCAGTACTTCACGTCTAGATGCATTTGAGATATTTTCCAATCATTTAGGTAACCACTCTTAACAGATTTTAGATTGTTAACCAAGAGAAACCTCGATGTGATTCAATTACTCTCAAAATAACCGTTCGCATTGAGAAGTCCATTATCATTTCACTATTCACAAACAAACGCGCAGCTTTCAAGTCTCAAAAATTCTTCAATCAACATTTAACTCTTATCATCCATGAAAATGATCAAAGAGAATCGTGATTACAAATTGAGTTCTACCAAAAGAAATTGAACTATAAAACCAAAGCTGTAAATGATAAAACATCAGCTCGGCGAGGTTACAACGACCTTGCTGACGAATAATTGGGTAGTGAGGCAATTGAGCTCTTCCCAGTGTCGGCGTCGGGAACTCAGGATGTCTGTGAATTAACAGGTTCACGAAATCACGTTTGTGACCTTTCATAAACATTCACTGTACAAGCAGGTCTTCCTTATCAGTTTTAGAGTGCAAAGTGCAAACTTATCGACGCTATTAGGTTAGTGGCTTCAGCAAACATAATATTTAATTATTTTGCGACCGCTTTTAATTCTTCACTCTATTACGTACTCTGATATAACTTGACAAAACAAAGACACTAAACCTTCACACGAGAATTCCATTTCATCTTACAGTAATGAAGCGACGGCTATAAACGCTTTTACGGTTTAATTATAGTACATGGCTTCATCTTCTTTAGTTTATAAGCGTATCTAATTCTAGAGAATACGAAGTTCCAAAGACGTTTTTAATCTTCCAAAGACACACGAGCGCCCAAACTTTTTCATTAATCACGCTGTCTTTTGTTGATGTTGATATCGTCATGTACTAACTTTAATGGAGTTCCATTGAGCGTGGTCTTATCGAATAGACATTATCTCTTTTACCAGAATTTTACAATTTGTTAAGGCACTTTAAGTACAGAAAAAATCTTTATAGATTTATAGCGTTTCTTTGGTTTTACTTTAATTTCTTTTCTTTTTTCCAGAATGTGGTGGACGATCACGGGAAACTTCGGAAACATCCTCCCGATTGACTGGACTAAATCGTTCTCCAGGAAGATGCACATCCCTACTTTGAACCTAAATGACAAGAAGGTAAGACCAGCTTTAGTTTAATACCTCAGACACATTACAGAGTCATTAAAAATAAATTCGAAGTCTAACATGAATTTAATATTCAATGCCAAAAGTCTTTATTACTTACTTACGTCAATTTTGCAAAGAAATAAAACGTAAATAAGTACTTAATTTCACTTCTCCTGTTTCAATTTCTGCAATGTTATACGATGTCAACCGACGAAAAACATCTTATTTAATGCTATCCATTGTTTCGTGGGAAAATGAATTCAATGCCCTGCCGTATTATTATATTGCAATGCTCATCAAACTGCAATGGATGTTCCAGTTTTTTGATGAGGTTTAAATAATACTGTGAAAAAATAACTCGCGCGAAATTTCACACCGAACCCGTTGTTACTACTTTATTATTTTTGTTTAAAACTCGCATATTCGCAAAAACAGATTAAATATTAAATGACGGAGAGTTATTAGCTATTGTGGTTTTAAAATAACAGCGTGAGTTTCTCTCAAGCTCTGGTGATTTTAATTATAGTTTGATAAATCATATAGAACGTCCATCTTTACTATCATCATCAACGTAATTACCAGCACTTTCTGAATCAATAAAGTCTGCAATGACTTTATGAGTTCCTTAGATCGATTATATTCAAGTCACTGATTGAAGACTACCTATACCACAAAAAAGACTTGATGGAATATTTTTCTGTCTTGCAAAATTCATCTTTGTCTCTAATTCCGCTAATAAATCAAAATATTCGTTCGTTCATTCAGAGTTCAATGACTCCTGACGACGAGATCCACAGCTCGGAGGATGAAGCCGTAGCTTCAGACCTGGACATGCACGCTCTCATCTTGGGCGGGCTCCACCAGGACCACGAATGTCCAGTCAAGACTGCTGATGAGGTAAGCACTGCTTTAAAGAAACCATACTTATTTTTACGGTATTTAATCGAAGACCGACAGACAACGGTAATGAAATATGTCAATGATATACCTAGTGAGTTGCTGAGCATAGGTAGCTGTTTGAAAGAGAGAGTTTAAAGAACTTCTAACAGATTATTTTTCGATAGCAAAAGTGATGTGGATACAAAATCCCATGCAAAAGTTAGTTTACCCAAAAAAGGCACTTAAAGAAAACTAACAATATCAAAACGTCTATTTTTTATATCCAGGTGATCCAGGAGATAGATGACATGATGCAAGACACTCCGTCATCAGAAGGTGACATCATCGAGTACAATGAGGCTCTGGAGAAAGGGAAGGAGGTACTCAGCTCGCCGCTCTATGAAGATAGTGAGTATTTACCATTGCATCATTGCTTTATTTGCTTTATAATTGCAGGCGACTGTCTGGGTATTTAAATAACGATATGTTTGTGTTTTGTTGAAATCAACATCGGTACCAATTTTACTGAACATTTTGTGTGTTTAAGTGCTGTCTACAAAAACCATTGTTTTGTTGTAATTACGATAGTAGTAACAATTAATGAATGAATGTGTTATGTAGATTATTTCTTGCGGGGGTTGCGGATAAGACTAGCTAAACATATGACAAGGTAGGCCTTCTTCTGCCATAGAGTAGGCCCTATGGCAGAAGTTGGAGCAGGATGGGTTTAGTCAGTAAGACTCTAACACTTCTATCCTGACAGGAGAAAGATTTGATGATATTCCGTCCTTACAAAAAAATATTGTTTAACTTCTTATTTTCTAGATAGGATAGGAAATAAAAAAATACGAGTAGATCACCTAATGTTTTTAAATTTAGACGTTGCACTCGCGCGATTCAAATCTATTGTTTTTTTTAAACACTGCTATGTAAATGTAAACAGCAAAATTGTTTTCATTTCCCGTCTATTCGCAGAGAGGAATGTGTATTGTGTAAATACCTATCTGTATAAAGTTATCCCGAGTATCTTTTGAGATAGCCATTCCTTTAATACTAGCTGGTGATTAAAATCTAGGTTATCTTTATCTATTTGTTTTATGATAAAACACAATAAGACAGTTGTTACAGACATGGGAATTGCATTTATAGCATTTATATGGAATGAGTTAAGATTTCCAAGATGCATTATTTTATTCAATACACTCTTATTACTGTCTCTTTCATTTTACGGTCGTAAAAATTATGCTTAAAGTGTAATAATGTAATAAAATAACTACCATGTTCCATAAAAATAAGTCCAGTAATTTAGGAGTTAGCATCTGATTTCTTTCAAATTTATCGACATATATAAAATCTTATAATTTGACAAACAGTTGGTGACTATTAAACTGGCCAACGAGTAAACTTATACTTGTACTAAACATGTTTAAAAATGTACGAAGGTCAAAGCAAATATTGTCAATTAAACGTAAACATCCCATGTATGATTCATGTACCTACGTCGATGTCTGCTCCCGACATTAAATGCGAGGATGTCATTTATATAAATATATGTAGGTTCATCAACTCTGTCACTTCGGCTTAGCTCTAATTAATATCCAGAAATAGTTCCATTCTACAATATATTCAAGTTGATAGCAGTTTGCAATGGCTACCATGACAGATGTATTATAATTTAGATGGGTTTCTATGTAAATGGACGACATACAATAAGATTAAATTCATAGATGTATACGTTTGACAAAAAGAAACCTCGTCTTCATTTTAGACTTGACTTATAGTCCTAAGTCAGGGTAGGGCGTCCATAGATCGGTCTTGAGCTTCTCGCTTCACCTTGCTCCACGTCACCAATGCTCGCTTCTGCTATTAACAGTACGACGCCATTCAAACTTCATTTTAGAGGAGTTCAAAAATTCTATTTGAATTCGAATTTTATTGTTACTAGACTGCCTACCTACGCATGTCATCGAACAGGATTTTTAAATAAATAGCCGTTGACTGATCGATCTCACTAAAATCTAGCCGCCAGCTTATGACTATACGAGCCGATCCGGTTTGCGCTTATTACCCTTAATAGAGAACTGCGTGCCATGTCTTGCTACCCAATGACATAATTGATTTTGCAGCAATTTGTTACTTTTTGTCACAATAATAGTAATTGCTGAATTCATGCTTCTCTGGAACTAAATTCGAAGCGTGAGAATCATTCGACAAAGACGAGAATTATGTAACTGATGACATAACGTTGGTGGCACCGACCATAAACATCATTCGCCAGTGTTTGTCAACAGCCTATAGCCCATTATAAGACGATCCTTATGTTTACTAAGCACTATGCGTTTGTGCGTTTGCGATCCATCAACTGCTTACGTTATTAATAACAACATTGATTGACGTAACCGAGGACCGAGAGTTAATTCCGCATCCAAAATAAACTGCATGAATATTTTAAGAAAACATATTACCAACGTGAGAGTCGCCACTGTAAAAGAAAGTATAACAGAACACTGTATCCGATACAGTTGCAATTTTTAATTTAAATATTCAAATATTTAATTCAAGCTGTCTGTAGCCGTAAAGCAATTTATGTGTAATTTCAGTGTGAAAGTAAATCATAAATTGATCAATAAAGCTCTCAATTGTCGTCATTCGATATGGGCGTACAATCGAGTACGCTCTGCTGATGCCCGACGCAGCGCAATGGCCGATTCTTTCGCTCGAGTGCGTTCACCCCTGCGCTTGCGATTAATTTGGCGCATCACTTTATTTTCTCAGCCTCCCACGTGTAGATCTAAAACGTTTATTTTGGCCGTTAATTGATCTGATAAAAAATTCAATAACCCCATCTAATGTACTATAAAATAAATCATGATTTTGTTAAAATAGGTTCAAAAACATGTGATTAATTTATTTGCATTGGAAAGTGTAAGATAGTAAACATTAGTATGTGTTGTAAATCTTTTAGAAGAACAACAGATGTGGATTACTCGTGAACTGAATCTAAACCCAGTTTGAAAGTTAGAAATAAACTTTACGCTGCTACTAGTAACTATCTACCTACTTACTACATTTTAATGAATTCTGTCCAAGTAGCAGACGGTTATATCAATGTCTAAAACCTGTTACAAATTACACCTATACTTAATCATCTGTCTCAGTAGTGAAAATGTTTTGATACAATTAAGTAATGAATTCAGTACATGTTTTAAAAGTCTACTTATTATGCAATGTAAAAATGAACCGTGTTTATTGCAAAATAAAATCGAAGGTGTAATAAACCTTACATAAGTTTATTACTTAGTTGAATTAATATTAAGATACTCATTAAGGTAGTTTGTAAGTCTTACCACCATTATTATAATAATTATAATCTGTAGCTCTAAGTAGCTAGGTACTTCATCATCAGAACTAAAGGACAGAGAACCTAGTACGAGTTTCTTTTACGTTAGACGCGATTAAAAGGTTACCGCGTCTAACTCTCTCATTGGTGGTTTATTGCAGCAGGCTTAGTACGAATTTGTTCGTACATTCGAAACGGTTACCTATGCGTTCGGCGCTCTGATTGGCCGGCTCTAATGAACCAACCAATCAGAGGCCTTAGTATGAGTTTTTTTTTAGGTTTAACTCGTCGAGTACCGTATTTATAGACACAATTAAAGAACAATAGGTTGCGGTCAACGGTGGCCGCTTGGTGTTTGACAGTTTAAAGTAATCGAAACGAGACCGTGATCGGCGTTTTGATTGGGTGGTTCATTGGAGCTGGCCAATGAGAGCGCCGAACGCGTTACTCGTTTCGATTCCTCTAAAGTTTTTACGTAAACAAAACTCGTACTAAAGCCTCGAGTACCGAACATCATAAACGTGTCGATCATGTTAAACGTAAAATTCACTCGTACTCCGAGCTCGTACTCAAAGGTGAAATCATAAGAAAATCGAATGTAAGTGCATTCCTAAAGATCATAGTATTAACCAATCTATTTAACATTTCAGAGCTGCGCACCTACTCGCTTGCTCAACTGAACGAAATATTTATGGAGTTGGAAGTCCTCATTCGCGAGTTTTCGGAGACTCTGATCGCTGAGCTGGCTCTACGTGATGAACTGGAATATGAGAAGGAGCTGAAGAACACCTTCATATCTCTGCTCCTGGCTGTTCAGAATAAGAGACGGCAGTACCATATTGAGAAGAAGAAGAGGCCACAACCACCACGGTCGCCTAATCTGAATGGTGGCCATTCTGAGTCTAAGGTGAGAGAATTATGAGGGGATTGTTTGTTAGTTCATTAAGAATTTGTTTAGGATTCTTGTGCCACTGAAAATGAATCTGTGATTTTTATTAATAGTTCATTATCTAATATCATAGTTTTAATGTATTGTTTTTGGGAATAGTTTGTGTTAGACCGAAATCTTAAATTTTTCTACCATCGCCAACTCATACTGGCATCAGCAGTTGTTTCTATACAAATTGGTCTAGATATTAGGTACACTCTTCTTAATATCAGGCTTGATAACTCGGATTCTTTTTTTATATTTGATGGACCGACGTTTGACCACTATCTCGCCTGGTGGTAACCGATGATGCGGTCTACGATAAAGCACGTCGTCCCATAAGCAATTCAGTTCAAGACATTCTACGATTGGTATCAACTGCTCTAGTATCATATTATCGATATATCACACTGATTTCATTAGCTCGTAACTTACCGACGACAATTCCATTAGAAATTTTACAATAATAATAAATGTTACAATAGTAAGTGTACAGTGAAAGTCCCTTGTTATGGATAGTTGGTCGATGCCGTCTACTGTGACTGCTACTTATTGTAACTATCTGTGAACAATCAATTATTTATAAATCTTTGTTTATTTAATAGCTATATTATTTAAAGGGAAACTGGGTGTCTTCTTCAATGTCCAAGTGGATAGATTGCTTATGGGCGGTGCGTAGGTTGCATGATCACCACCAGGCAAAATAGTGATCAAATGCCAGTTCAAAAAAATAAATAAAGGCTCTTAATACCACCTACTTGTCGTACACACAGTAATTTTTCAACTTTATAACTGTTGTATTAAAGTTTAAGTTCTCTTGGTAATAGTTTTCTCTTCTTATAAGGTGTTTATGTAATGTTTCAGTACTTGACTACGGTGATACCGTTCCACCTAGACAACGGACCCCCGGACAACCAGTCGCTCCAAGTGCTCATTAAGAGTAAGTTTCATCTTATATACCTTCTTACTTATGTATTGTTATTAACCCTTTGAGTACCGTCATTATAGACACAATTAAAGAACATAGGTTACGGTCACCGGTGCCCTCGCGGTGTTTTACAGTTTAAATAAATTATGTTTAGGATTTAAATAAATTAAGCCATTGACTGCCGACAGAAAACTCCTGAAGGCAAATCCTCTGCTAACGTATGTTACCGGTGACCTACGCGGCGTTTAACGTGATAAGAGACTTTGTATGAATCGATTTGCATAATATTAACTTTTCCGTTAGTTAGTGTACTTAATAATAATTTTATTTAAGTTGTAAATTAAAAATTGTTCACTTTATATTATACGATTTATACCTTTAAAAATTAATAAATAACTTAACAAATATTCTTTGTACAATAATGTCAACTAAATTCCGAATCAAAGCAAACCTGTGATATATTAATAACAGGAAATTTGAGTACCATTTGTGTAATACCTCTATATCAATCGTGGTATAATTTTAATTAATATGTTCCTTTTTAATTTCAGTTCTGAAGGCAATCAACGAGGACAGCCCGACCGTGCCGACTCTATTAACAGACTACATCCTAAAGGTCCTGTGTCCAACATAAATACCCCACGACTCTAGCCAATTGAAACAATTTATTGAACACATTCAACATTTCAACATTTGCACTATACACATGTAACAGGTTTTAGACCATATCATTGTCTACACTGATAATTTTGTTCACTTAGAAATAAATTTATTCAAATAGTTGTTATTGACTGTAGGGATAAGGGTGCAGATTTGTACAATCTCTTCTATTATATGAACGTTTTAACATTCATAATTATATTCATAATTCATAGTATTGCTCAAAAGGCTTAGGACGAGTTTAAAGTATGTTTATTTCAAATATTCGAAACGAGACCGCGTGCGACGCTGTGATTGGTTAGTTCATGAAAGTCGACTAATCACAGCGCCGAAACCGAAACTCTCGTTTCGGTTATTTTAAACGTAAAAAAATTCGTACTAACCCTTCAGAAAGCAAATGGCGTCGGGTCATAAAGTAGGTACTGTTGAAATTTCTCAGGAAAGGAATGAAATCTCCAATTGGACCCGCGTTTCTAGCAATAAACTTTGTCCCTTATTAAATGGGATTTATTACATAAGAGGCGAAGAGTGTTACATTTAACATGTGCACCTCTACCTACTAAAGTTGAACGCACACTTATCCGAGCGGAACGCGTTGAACGAGTCGAACGAAACGGACTTTAGAATTCTGTATATAAAATCTCATGCAACCTCGCACACTTCCCCGCGTCGATTCATCCGAATTCGTAGTATACGAGGTTTCATGAGATTTTATTCACAGAATTCTGTAGTTCGTCTAGTTCTACAAGTTCGACGCGTTCGGCTCGGATAAGTATGCGTCCACCTTAATAGGAGAGCATGTTATGTCTAGACCTAAAGCACCTTTATCGAAACTGTCTAAATTCATATTACAAATAGAATAAATATTTCAATAATAAAAATTGATATTAAATAAAATATTCGTCGTGTATTGATATTATTAAAGGAAACACATTTTACAAGACAATTGATATCCCATTATTTTAATTTGCAATGTTATGTTGTAAGCAATAAGAGCCATACTTTATTGGGACATCATTCTACGTGTATTTTACCTGGTGGTAACATGGTTTCGCAATTTGTTGCCGGCGACCACGTTTGTGGTTGTAGACAGCTGGGTTGCGCGACTAATCGTACGACAATGGTGTTGCAATAAACGTGGACCCCAAGCGTCGAACAAAAATATTGTTGTTCTGTTGAAATGTTCATGTCATTGCCATAACAACAATTCTTTTGGTGATTTATTCCAATTTGTAATATAATATTATACTTATATTCAACTACATTATATATATATATATCTTTATTTGCATAAATGAACTGTGATATCATTAAGATAGTTTTAATTATTGCTTCCTTTAAGATTTACATGAATATTTGTTATTTTAAATTTTAAATATCTCGAACATTATTACCTATATTTATTTTAGATTTTTAATATCGTCATTACATCAATTGTCACCGGGATAATGTGAATTCATTATGTAAATATTTTAAAATTATATGTTACGTAACATTGAAAAGTGGAATTGTCCTCTCATATTAACGTTTAGCTAATTTAAGATACGTAGGTATTCAGAAGAAGCTTGTAAATAGAATGAAATATCAGCTTCTAATATTAGCTTTATTTTTATTTTACTGACTGCGTCGGTCTCGGGCTTGGGAGTGACTCTAAGCTATTATTGTCTTTCTTGAATATAGAAATGGTTAATAATAGTTCGGAGTCTTGAATGTCTGGACTTACCCCCGGGAGATAGGTAAATGGCTCGCCCCCTTATTAAAAATAAACCGCACGCTCCAATTGCAGTCGGCATGCAGTCGTGTACTGCACACCGACTGCAATCGGACTGCATGGCTGGTTTATAGTTCTATTGCAGTCATGTCAACTGCGCATTCAAATTGCATACGATCTGCAAATTTGCAGTTTGACTGCATTTTAACTACAAATTTGCAGTTGGATTGCAGTTAAAATGCAGTCCATCTGTATAGAGCCTAAAAGTGTTACATTTTATATGTGTACTACTTATCATCACGGGGAACGATAGGGCGTGATCTTATTTTAACAATTGACTTCAATTTTTAGTATAAGAACATCGAATTTTGTTTTTCAATTAGTATTTAGCTTCCTAATTATAGTGTGCCCGAAATAAACCAGCTAATGTTTAGTAATCCATTAATCATGAAATTTTAGAATACATTGTTAGATTTAAGTTGTATCTCTAGTCTCAACATGTAGTAGTCATATTTGTTATTACTTTAATCGATGGCAGGAAGCTTGGATGTTATAATAAAATAAATAATCGCATGATAAAGTACGTAATATCTTGTTGTATGGTCAAAAACATTTTGTTCTATGTACGAGAAGGTATGTGCATTGATTTACAAAGTATGCTTTTGTCGCACATTTCAAATTTGAATAGTAGGATCACTTTGTGCATTATAAAGTGCTGAACGAATGATATGGACAAGGTACTCAATAAGTTATAAGTTCGGTGGTTATTTAACATAAAATTATAATTATCGACTTCAAATATTGACGTTAAAGGTCTGTGCGGACGGGCCACGATTTTTGTCAACCTTTGTAAACAGTTACTATACCGAATAACTCGCAAAGTGAACTAAGAATACTCCATAATGCAACTGAGTGAAGTTCTCGATGGATTGTTATCAAAACCCAAAATAAAATTGATGTCAGTAACCAAAAGTCCCTCGTATGCACAGACCTTAAATATTTTAAAGATTACTAAAATAACTTTATGTATGTGAACCAACTGGTTTGATTGTAACTGTATGTAATAGATGTTGCCTATCGTACGCCTACCTGGCTTGAACATTATACATTTTGTGAACACATTGTAAGTACCTGGTCGAAATAAAGGAGCTTGAATGATATTTTGTTTTTTTTAATACTTAAAACCCTAATTATCTAATAAATCGTTAATTTTTATCATATTTTTTTGGCAATATTAAAAAAAATGTCTACATAAAACCTCCATGTAAAATTATTGGACCCATAGCGTTTTACACCAGCCAGTACCCTTGTCATAGCTAATTTGAATTTCAAATTTCGAATAAAAAATTTGTCGATATGTTTAATTTTCTGCGCATTTTTTTGCAGATGACATTTATTGATTTGGACATTCTTTATCGATTATTAATTTAATAATATTAATTAGATGAGCTCCAATCGAATTGCAATCACTTACGTGCACGTGCAATGAGATAAGTGCTAAGGATTACATCAATTAGGTAGGTACCTAATTAGTGAAAGAAGATAATGAAATACGTACCTATAGTTGAGTACTTACCTAAATAAATTAATAAATTTAGTCAAGTGTTTCGTAAATGATGTTACTTCTAACTGTAATTTAATTAATAATTAATTATAGCCTAAATTAACAAACTCCAAATAAATTATTACGTTTTTCGGTTTTACCCACGTAATTCTTAGACGAGGAAGTCGACTACTACTCTGCGACTGTCGCGCGGCTACTATCAGTATCAGTAGCAGCGCGACATCCGCCGCGCCGGCGCGAGCCGCGGTATGCTGCTCATGAATATGAGCCTCTAGCATGGCTTGAAACTAGTCGAGTTTCTCTACAAATAATGACGTAAGCCGAAAACTATAATAATTAATTAATTTAATATCTTACAAATGTAAACTCTAATATCTGACATCAAAAATCTAATTTAATCCAAAGATTTGGATTCAAATCTCTTATTAATTTTGGCCGTTATTTACATCTTTATCACTACTAAAGTCCCTTTTAGAGGGGGAAATCACCCAATGACTTCCCCCTTGCCTTGGGTGAGGCAAGCTAGAGGGCGAGTCAGGCTCTAACTAACTAACCATCCTTTTCCTATTCCAGCTTTGGGCTGGAGCCCCGGGTAACTCGCTAAGTCGTCTCGTCCTCAGCTCCGGGTACAAATGATAACTATTCATAATTACTATTTTTATAATAAATATCGTGAGATATACTAAATTAACTACAAATCGCGGGATACTCACGTGAATATACTGAGAAAAGCTCTACGAGTTTCAAACCACAGAGGGATTCTTCCTCATGAGTATAGCCTACTGCTGGCTAGCGTTGGCGCTCGCATCGGCGTTGTTACTTACGCTGCGAGCCCACCGCGCCTTCTGCCGGATGCCACGAGTGTTAGCTTCCAACTCTGGCGGCGGCGCGTTAGACGATGTTGAAGCGCACGGTACGTACCAGCGGCGCGAGTAGTGGGTTAGATTCCTGGTTCTGTACAAAGTCAGTGTTACATATAACGCTTACTGTGTCACACTTCAGACTAGAGACGCTGCGGATCGACGTAGATTCCAAACTCGGCTTCCACGTGGGTGACAGTGCCCATCCACCATCCCTGTTGAAACACAGACGTCGCTGTCGGCTAATCTCGTTTTGTAGTTTATAATTAATGTACCCAAACATTCATCTTAGTATTTGTAAATAATTGAATATCCCAATTACCCTCCCCCCTTTTCCCCAATCCCTGAATTCCCAACAAACCTCAAATTCCTAATCCAAAAGGGTAACGTACTTGTAACGCCTCTGGTGTTCTAGGTGTCTATGGGCGACGCCGATGCCGATTGCTTAGCACCAGGTGATCCGTCTGTACGTTTACCGGTTTATCCCATAAAAAAAAAATTGAATAGGTTCTATCTTTAGTACCTACCTACTTACTTAAGTGATCAATTAAAGATTGTTTGTTACATGTCACACTTAAGTCTAAAATATTATTGCATTAACTAAGTAGATTGGGAAATACCATGTTTTTGATTGATGCATTAGAAAATTAATTTTGGTTATACATAAAACGTATCGGATTAAGATAAGATAGATAATACAGTGACACGTGTTTGTTAGCTTGAAAATATTTGACGAATTAATACAATAAAATTAAATCGATTAGGCAAGATTACGAGTGCAAGATACGACAAGGCCGCTATTGGATTAAAGTTAACCTTAATGCCAATGCATAAAGGTAATAAAAATATGGAGGTCCTTAAACCTTTAATCCCACGTTATTTCCTACTAAGATATCCTAATATCCTACTTAGATAAACGTGCGTAAAAATTGATAAAAACCTCCCAATTTTTATTTTATTTCAGTAATCATAAATGTCAAAATAAACGATTTTCTTTCCGCGTAAAGCATGTATTCAAAGGTTGGCAAAAACTTTAGAAAATCTAAAGCAATCATTGTTCAATTATTTGGGCAGCGGCAGTTGTCTGGAAAGATTTCTGGTTTTCATTTATCATAACATATTTCATCTCCAAAATCAAGAATAGGGGTGGGTATGGGTGCAGTGGCGTAGCGTGAACTATTACAGACAGACGTAGCCAAATCACATTCCGAAGTACTTATTACAGATTACCTTTAAAAAGAGCTCACAAGGCTTCATTACAGATATTATATTGTTAGCTTGTTCTATATTTTATGTCGAACGCTGCAGCATGTGCCGGTGACAAAGATATCAAGGAGACCTCACGAGATACCTTTTATTATCAGGTCTTAAGGTGCACCTTGCTTTTGTCAGTAAAGTAGTATTAGGGAAGATAGATTTCAAAATACAATGACAACAAAATATATAAAACGTAAACTATTATATTTCTGATCAGTCATGGTCGTGGTATTTATAGGTATTGCCGGATGAAACTGTCGTAGCTGGTGACTCGAGCGAACGCTGATGGGAAACCAAGCTGGCATCCATTTGCTGCGACGAAAGAGCTGACACCAATCTGAAATACGGAACATCTAGATTAATACAGATCGATAGACTTAGATAGAACCTACAGAATTTCGCAATAATAATGGACCTATGAAATTTACTGTGTTAATTGTTCTTTTTGCAATTTTATCCTACAGTTTTGTATAGTATTTCATAAGACTTACCAAAGTAGGTATGCCGTTCTGGTTGAATACTAGAGGACCGCCAGAGTCTCCGCCGCAGATACCGACTCCTCCAGCCCCGTTGGTGCAGATCGTGCTTGGAACCACGAACACGCTACCGAACACGGACTGACAGGCCGCAACGCTGATAACTTGCAAGTTTACGTGACTTACAATCGTGGATGCACCAGCTTGCTCTGCAAACATAGGATAATAATTTAAACTGACTGTCAGAACTTTTTCTAACGACTGTTAAAACGTTGCATTTCTTTTTGATGACGCAAGGCTTTTTTTTTTGAGAGGGGAAAATCATCCAATGACTTCCACACCCGGGTGTGGCGAGAGGGAGTGTCAGACTCTTACTGACTAAAACCACCCCGTTCCTACTACTGCACTTCGAACCGGAGCCCCGGCAACCCGTTAAGTCTTCCGCGGCATGACGCAAAGCTTACTTTATTTACCCTCTTTAATAAAATCTTAGGTCATACTCACGGTCACTGGTTCTTCCGAATCCTGCAGCAACTGCCCAGAATCCAGCAAAAGTTTGAGACAAGTTGTTCGGAAGGGCAATAGGCTGAATACTGTCTGTAAATTCAAAGGAAAAGTATGTAAGTAAAATTGGTGTACTGATTCGCATTTCTGATCACATGAACCACAAATGCTAGTCAAAATCTGCTTCTACGTCAGTAGTTGCCACGAGCAACCTACATTTATTTAAAAGTTTAGTTGTTGATCAAAATAATAATTATTCATTTTAGTAGACTTATGTCAAAACTAATCAATTGAATCAATCTTTCGTTCGTATTTGTTATCTAACTAATTGAATTTATTTCATACTTAATCTATGATAGTAAATATACGTACTACATAGACCTTCTTTTATGATATTTACGATGAACGGAATAAATGACTTACTGCTGAATAGAACGCTGGTAGGCAGTCTGATCATGGCGATATCGTTGTTGAGGTTAGAGGCACTATATTGTGGGTGCATGATGACATCGGTAGTAGCAATTCGGGTGCCACCAGAGAATAAGAGATTGGATCCGAGGATAACGAGGAACTGCCAGGCTTGGTTCCACCCATCGGTCCAGCAGTGAGCTGCTGTCACCGCACGATTGGCAGACAGGAGAGAGGAACCACACACTGATTGACCAGAAGTACCAACCAAACTGATCAGCAGTCCAGCCTGTAAAAAAGTTCGTTATTAATATGCAACGAAGATGAAATTGTGGATATTTTTATTGAATCTCAATTCTAACTAAGTAAAAGAGGCTGTATGGCATGTGAGTCTGTAATGTCTGCACTGGGTATCCCTTAAAAAAAAGTAACATTATTCTTTGCGCTCTTAATTTAAATTCAAATGGTTTATCATCTCAAGAATTACAATATCTGTCTAACATTGAGGCATCCCCAGTAAGTTTTTATTTATTACTTGTGTTTGACTTGACGCGCACCTCTGCACTGTTAAACTTTTTTTAAATACTTAGGGTTAATACAATTGCTATTATTTCGACATACTATTACTGTCATTACAATCAAATACGACACCTTACTATCGTTTCATTCTGTTGGTCAGTTACAACACGTGTTGGCTTGATAGAAAATACTTTTATATTTGACTGGTTTTCACAGCATTACTTACAAAGTATGGGTGCGCGTTAGCAGGCGCGATGGCACCACCAACAATCCTGTTGTCTGAGGCTTGTACCGCCAGAAGTTTCTCCTCCTCAGCTTTGATCTTCTCTGCGGTAGGAATACCTACGGCCTGGTGGTATCCGGTCCCTACTTCCACTAGGGCGGACGTTGAAGCCACCAGGGCCAAGCCTAACAGAACAACAGCACGCATTGTGTAAAAATATTGTAACTAAATATAACGAGCCGATATCTAAAGCTACTTATATACCTTTTGTACACTAAATCAGATCTAATCGTTTGTAATGATTGGTATGCAATTATATAAAAGCCGATTACTTTATCGAGACAGGCAGACCTGTCAGATAATATGTAATCTGTTTACGGATTACAATTTTTTGACTTGTATTATTTACATGTTTGACTGAAATCAATCCATGTAGGATTGATTTGAGGATTTAATTCGTGTTTCAATAACAAAAGCGTCACCTTTAATCAATTTTGAAGTTACTGTTTTAGCTAATCCCAATTGACCACTTCGGCGACCTCTCGCGTCCGGTCCTAGTGCGTGTCATGATGCGGAGCAAGGGGGACTGGGATGCCGTCTCGTCGTTTGTGAAGTAGGTAGTCATGTTAGCTAAGGAGGAGGCAGGACGCGTGAGGCAGCGAAAAGCTGCCTCCTCGCTACCCAGCCATCGCGAAGGACACTCAGCAGCGCGTAAGCGCGGGCCTGCGGACGGCGAGCATCGCCCGACCAGAACCAGACCCGAGCGTAAGGTGCGTCGCGTTCCGCGCGCGCCTCAAAAAACCATCAGACCACCACGGATGGAGCCCAATAGGGCTGATGCCGATATGGAGCCGCGGAGAACCTAACGAATTACCGGGGCTCCGGCTCGAAGTGCAAAAGTAGGAACGGGGTATATTTTAGTCAGAGAGACACTAAACTCTGACTGACTCAAAAAAAAAGTACGACATGGGACTTATAACGAAACTGGTGAATAGTTGGTACAACAACACCTACAATAGGTGTTGGCTAGGTATATTAATTTTAATACATACGTGGTACGTCTGCTGATCAATTCGATAAATAATTGGATATACGAATCTCAACTTTAGTATCCAATAAATCACAACAGATTTCTTCTAATTGGTCTTCGCAAATAACAGCTAGAACTAAACGTAATTGATTCAGTAAATTTTCCTTTTGGCGCCAATTGGTGATATCGAGCATCTTTTCTACTAGGTAAGGTACCTAAGTATAAATTATCAAAAACCTACAGATAAGATTATAGGTAATTGGATAATCGAGTGACAGGTAAATCATTTGTTTTCATTGCTATAAAAATGTATCTAATAATTAAAATTAAGCCATAATATGGTCGACGCCATGGAGGTATATCGGTTACCGACCCTAGTGGAGGATTTACCTTCAAAAGCATAATGGCTAACAATAAATCGCGTAATATAACACGAGCATTGGCTCTTGCGTATTGCATTGATTACCAATGAGTCCATAATGCAATTCCTGAATTGGCGTAAGATTTTAAAAACTCCAAATTATTTTGCCAGATACTGAAATTGAATTGGAGGCAGGATAGTATTCAGCAGTCTTATTTATTTTATGACTATTGGCTACTAGACCTAGACTGATAAGAGGATTAAAATGATAAGAACCCCTATTTAGTGGGAAATAGTCGTTCATTATCTAAATCAATTCCTACTACCGCAGAAATCAGAGCTAGAAGTTATGACGTCTTTCACAAATTATGATCTCATCGTCATTTCTAAACCATAAACAACTTTTGCGTAAAGAAAAAGGGACTCACATGATTTATTTGTCACGACTAATTTATTAATTATCTGTGAAATCACAACTTATCGGGTCTTAATTCAATACTATTATCAACGTAAAACGATAGGGAAATCAGAGTGAACTTGTATAATAATAACGGCTTACCTACCCAATTAAAAGTGCGTAACGTCTGTTATTTTTCAAAAATAAAAAGTGCGGTATAAATGTGATACGCCTTATGACTTTTTTACTCTCATTACCTTTATTGTGAAACTTTTATAATCATTTATCCTTTAAAATCAATCACAATTTCCGTGCTGATTGATCCGTCTCATTTACAAACACATAATGTCACAAATTTGTTTATCACACTAAAATATTATTCTGCACAAGTAGAAGTGTTGCTGATTCTGCACAAGTAGAAGTGTTGCTGTTAAGCTATTCTGTAAGTCGCGGAGAACCTAACGGGTAACCGGGGCTCCGGCTCGACGTGTAGGAGAAGGAACGGGGTGGTTTTTAGTCAGTAAGAGTCTGACACTCCCTCCCGCCTAACTCAGGCGGGAGCAGTCATTCGATGATTATCCCCCCTTAAAAAAAAAGCTATTCTGTAAGAAGTCAATTCGAACTCTTGACGTGACCTAGCTCCTTCATGTCATTGGTTGTAAGAATAATCTCGACCAATGACGGTCGAGAATGCTAGCTGCAACAATTCGGTCTAAAACCAAGGATACACTAGGGGATTACCCAAGAAGTATATCGGTGACATGTCAACCAAAGTAGGCTGATGTCGCTTGGCATATACGGTGACAACGCGCCACTTATGTCCATAGTGACGTTGATGTTGCCAGACATGTCGACCGAAGTCCGGCAACGTCGCTGGCGACACGTGTCGTAGGATATTCGTCCCCTAGTGTAACCTTGGCTTTAAACATTCATTTTAAGTTCATATATCTTCTGTGTTATATTAACAGACTTGCAATTGGTTCTTACTTCCTCTACAATTCTCAATCTGCATGTTGAGAAATTAAGGCAGCTTCATGTCGAACATTACTGAATGTAGACTTCTCTCATATCAGTTTTCTTGAGGGGAAAAATCATCCTATATCTTCTCCAACCTTGGATGAGTGAGAGAGAGTGTCAGACTCTTACTAACTAAAAACCATTCTATTCCTACTTCTGCATCGAGCTGGAGCTCTGAAAACCCGTTAGGTCGTCTCCAGCACCGACTCCCAAAGACCACTGGTAAGTGGTCCTGTTCTAGAGAGCATACATTCCTGGCAACAATAAACTGCACATAACACACAATCTTCTGGCAAATATATCCATTAGATACCACATTTAGTAACAATAAAGAACTGCGTTAAAGATGGTAGATATGATGAAAACCATAACCGGTTCCTCGAATTATTACATAAAGTGAAATAATAGACATAGCTGATGCAAGTGTGTCTATACCTTTATAATCCGTAATGTACGGAAACCCAGTGTGGTAGACCTGATCGTTTCGATAAAATTAATACCGGAATATGTAATTTCCTACAATTGTAAAGCGTCATTACTCAGTATTAATTCATACTTATCTGAAATTTGGGAAAACCGTTGGATTTACAAAATAAGCTTACTAGATTAACTAAGTACTTATGATTTTTTCTTGCAGATTATCTGATTAGACGAATTATCTTATGGAGGTGTCAAAAGAATTGATGACAATTTGATTGATCCGGGAATCGAACCCTAGCTTCCTTCTCATAGTGTCATTTGCTAATTGCTATTAGGTACTCGGTCAATGAGACAATTTCAAATAGACTTCTAGTAGATACGGGATCTGGTATTAAAATACCTGTTACATCGTTAAAGAAAAGAAAAATCAGGTAATACTTAAAAATAGTAATATTTTATTAATTTTAAAATCAGTCAATAGTTGCATTATTATGCTCATTGTAAAAATGTTTACATGTGTTGAGATATGAATCCGATGAAGCTGGTCACACGAGCGAAGCCTGATGGGAAACCACCTTGGCACCGGTCAAGTGCCGCAAAAGAGCTGATACCAATCTAAAACACATTAAATTTTATTAAAATAAACGTTGTACGCTAAAATAGTCTGTAATAGAACAAAATATTTACGAGTTTATTGTATTGAATATTATAGAAAAAATATATAATAGAAAAAAAACAAAAACCTTTTTGTAGAGGTATAATACTCCGGGTAATTCAACCGCTAATCTATTATATAGGGAATCATTAAAGTTATCAACTAGATACCAATATTACCAAATAAAAATGTACTATAGTCAGGATCTTTATTGGCAAAAAAAATACTATACCATCTACTTGAGTGGAGTTCATATGTATATAGCCTACTGTTATCTAAACGATGTTGTTTTGTTTTCGACAACCACGCGAACGAAGTTTCTATACGATTTTAGCGCATTAATAATATATCCAACTAATTTTAAGAAAAGGTTAATATTCCTGAGTAAAAGCTATATAACAGATTTAACTGGCCGAAAGAGATCAAAATTCTTACGGGACAAAAAAGGCCTATAGGCCAGGATTATAAAAAATGTCTCACCAAGAACGGCTCTCCGAAGTTGTCGTGAGCAGCAAGAGGACCACCAGAGTCTCCACCACAGATACCAACGCTGCCTACGCCACTGGTGCAAATGGTGCTATGCGTCACGAAGCCGGCCACAAACCGTTGTGCACAAGTGTCAGTGTTGATCACCTGCAGCGACACGTGGCTTACCACAGAAGCAGAAGTTTGTTGAGCTGTAAAAAAAATCCAGTAGTATTGTGATACTGTGTCGTCTTCTCGTTCAAGATGGTATATAATTTTTCAATATTCTTATCTCCACTCAGATGAAACCTAAAGGCACTTTATTTTTGCAATTTAGAGTTTCTATTACTCAATTTCTAAAAGATATTGACATTTACCGTCGCTAGTTTTTCCGAAGCCAGCTGCCATAGCCCAATGGTTCTCGAATTGGTTCCACAATTCCATATTTCTGGGTAATCTGATGGGTCGGACGTTTCCTGAAAATAAGTTACAAGATAATTAAACATGCGACTCAAAATAAACTGGAACTGCCGACTGCGAATCATAAGTAAGAAAGTAAATATATAATACAAATATATCTATTTATTTTTTAAAGCTTCATGCACAAAGTGCACATAAGGTGGACTTAATTACTTTTTCTTAATCATAAGTACAATGTACAATGGTTTTTTATTGTATCCTTTTATGTATTAATTATATTTTGTAAACATTAATTTAATTAAATTACGATAACACTACCGCAACACGGTCATTATTGCCGTTATACTTTAGAGGTATACCAAATTGTTGGCAATGGTGTGGGTTACATATTAATGTAGCTGTTGTTTAATGTAAAACTTTTTATGTAAAATCTTAATACGTAACTGTTTTTGTCCCTTAAATAAATAAATTAATAAATTAATGCCGCAGGCATTTTCTCCCAATTCAATAATTCGTCCTGTTATAATCATAAAACATACCAGTCATCATAGCGTTCCAAGGCAAGTATATCATAGCGACGTCATTTGTAAGGAACTGAGGCACATATTGAGGATGCATGATGACTTGTCGAGTGGCAATACGTTCACCACCGCTATGCAGCCAGTTGGAGCCCAAAATGACGGTGAACTCAGTCGCTTGCCTGAAGCCGTCGAACCAGCAGTGAGCGGCAGTCACCAGGCGATTGGCAGACAACAAAGAGGAACCGCATACTGATCTGCTTGTAGTTCCAACTAAGTTGATCAGTAAGCCACCCTGTATAAAAGTAAAAGTTTTAAATAAACATAATATAATGTGGACCTAAATGTATGATTTATTAATTAGTAACAGTAGCTATAGGTGCATCGATATCTGAAGATACAGTTCCATCCAGCTTATTACGCACGATGATGTCAGAACCTTTTAGTAGCGGTAGCGCATCAGTAAAATTGAGTAATATTGTACATACTTTAATTTAGACTATTGTAAAGATATTAATTTACATCAACATTGAATTAATTACATTAGAGCACTTCTCTCATTTAGACAGTTTTTTTATTACTGTGTTATTTACTTACGAAGTATGGGTGAGCGCCAACAGGAGCCAGTGCTCCTCCAACGATCCTGTTGTCATTAGTTACGGCTTCGTTAGCTAGACTTGCTTCTTCTAGTGCCCTGATCTTCTCTGCAGCAGGAATACCGATGGCATCGTGGTAGTTGGTCTGTACTTCTAATAAGGCAGAAGCACAGACAATCAGAGACAGACCGAACACTAAACCCTTCATTATTACGAATACTTACAATCCATTGTGTCATTCTCTTATATATCTAAGCTAATCGTTATTTCAGGCGCTGATTAATATAATCGCGGGTTTTCTTTGTCATCGATTCCAACTATCTAATCTAAGTTTACCTAAGCGTATTTCGTTTAATATTTTACCACCGTAGCTTTTTAATTCGCAGTAAATTTAGTTACTCACAAAATAGTCGGTCATTCAAATACATTGATGATAAATTCGTTGACATAAGGAAGAGTAAAAGACCGGTATTTAAGCTGGTTTACAAATCAGCCCTTGAGTAATGAGTCTTTGCTCAAATCATTGATGGCATCTAGTTGGGCTGTCGTGAATTCTGTCTGCAGATTTTGGTCCTAAAGAGAGTATCCTTAGTGTGGGAGAGCCATGCTTCGGTACGAATGGGCCGGCTCAACCGTAATGATAGCACGACCTCACAGAAAACCGACGTGAAGCAACGCTTGCGTTGTGTTTCGTCGTGTGAGTGATGTTATCGAAACCCAATTACTCCCTCCTCCCCTTCCCCAATCTCCCCAATTCCTAAGGCCCCAGCGATCCTCAAACTCCTAATCCCCAAAAGGCTGGTAACGCACTTGTTCTCGTTCTTTGGTGTCCATGGCGACGCCAATTGCTTACCATCAGGTGGTCCGTCTGCTCGTTTACCGGCTTATGCCATTAAAAACAGAATGAATGTTCTATTCCTTCTATTTTGTATTAAAACTTAGAATTATCTTATCATTGTGTAGTACGCTTGTCACTTTACGGTTCGGTTTTCACAAGGGCGTCTTATTCGGACCCGAAATAAGCTAATACTCAGTACTTACTTACATTGATGCAACAACTTTACAAGTTGTCTTTTTTGTAATGAGACATACCTATATTGCATATTGATGACCAGACTAAACAAACTTCGATCAACCAAATTAAATTTCCACTTACCCAATTCGAACCGTGCATGAAAACTACTTTAGAGTGTGTGTATAAAATCATTTACAAAATAAAACAATCAATAAACTCTAATCGTTCTGTATGTTTATCATAATAATAATTAGGGATTATGATAAAAATTATAAATATTATTTTGATTTAAACGTTACTTGGTCAAGCCAAATGAAACCAATGGCGATTAAAGGAAATCAGGGTTTTTTTTACTTCAATATATAATTTCGATCGTGGGAATCGATAAGGGCTTGTTACACAATGTCTGGACAGCCATTGTGTACCAGCCAACATAATGTATGTATATCATCGAAGTAGTCGGTCTGCACTTCCACAAGAACGGAAGCACAGACAATCAGAAACAGATCGAAATTCTTCATAGCTAATATTACATACAATACGTATATAAGCCCACGCCTGTCTCCCATGGGTATAGTCAGAGACTATGGAACACAAAATGCTACGATTCTTACATACCTCTTTCGCTGCATCAACAGCTGTTAGTCTAAATAAAGTCAAATGTGGCACACTCTTATATATCTAAGCTAATCTCATCTATTTTTCAGACACTAATTAATACATATAATCACGGGTTTTCTATGCCATCATTCATCAATGACAATTATCTAATCTTTAAACATTTGAATGAATCAATGAAGGAAATGGTAGTTAATGGGTAATTTCCAGGCGTTTCTTTCTATAAGGATGTTCCAAAAGACGTTATAAAAAAACACACGCTTACATGGTTATTAACAATAGTATCGTAAACATTATCATTATTATATTCTGACATCATTTTCATATCAAACCAATATTAAACATTTACTAGTAGGTTGTGGCTCAATTTTTCAAAAAAAAATTAAGGTTAGACATAGCATGCTTATAAAAATTGGGCTAGCCATTCAGTTTAACTTTATCGTTCAATCACTTTCGACGCATCGTTAATTTGGTTTTTTATTTTTCATGATTACTTACTTATCTTATCATTTTGTTAGTTTAGTTCTATGCTTCATTACCTAGAACTGCTTTAGGGACTTTCTTAATTACTCGGTAAGTATTTACCTACTTTTCGATTGTTTAAGCTTTCACACTAAATCATTGATAACTACCAACTTTAATTTTCTACCGCTGGGTTTCTCAAACTATGGGCCGCGAACCATAGGTGGGTTGTAACGGTTCAATTTCCTAAAAGTGGATCTGAGTTTGATAGCTTCATTTAGATAGGCGTTAGTCCAGGCAACTTTGGCAATCTCAACCACTGCTCTATCAAATCATTTCGTTCCAGAGTCGATATTTTAGATTTTGGAAAAACATCAGATTGATGCAGGTATAAACGCGTCAGTCCATTGTGCTCCAGTCCATTGTGCTCTACCAAATTATAATTGAGTGTTAAAAATAGTATGAATAATTAAGTATGACATGTTTATTAATAGTGAGAATATATTTCCATCTTTCTTAAAAATAATAGAGACAAATATATAATGTATTCGTACATAAATATATTTACAAATGTTGAGTAATAAAATTGATGAAGCTGGTCACTCTAGCGAAGCCCGACGGATGACCACCTGTGCAATTTTTGTAAGCCGTGAAGGAGCTAATACCAATCTGGAAAAGGTAAATATTCATGTTGTAACTTGTGAATTTTTTATGCATTTTTTTTTTCTTTAAATCAGTTGATCAACTTATTTAACTGTCTTTTGATTTACGTCGCAGTGTTACAATTAATCAGACTATAAAAACGGGACCTTATTACTAAGACTCACCAAGAATGGGTTGCCAGTGTTATCAAACGCGGCAAGCGGGCCACCGGAGTCTCCGCCACAAATACCCACAATACCAAATCCACTTGTGCAGAGAGTGCTGGGCTTCACAATGGTTGAACCGAAGGAAGCGTGGCATTGAACGTTGCTGATCACCTGTAGTGTGATGTGGCTCACCACGGTCGAAGCTGCAGTTTGTTCTGAAATCAATTAATAAACCAATTAAAAACGATCAGTCACAAAAATATATCAAAAAAATTTCGACGCTCAGTCACCACTTACCGTCATTGGTGCTTCCAAAACCAGCAGCAACGGCCCAATGTCCCACAAACTGGTTCCATAACTCTGAATTATTAGGCAATCTGATCGGTCTGACAAGGTCTGCAAAATACATCATAGATTACCAATTATAGAAGAATTGAGATCTTTTAAGGAGTAGGTATGGAAATGAAAATTGAACACTTACTTGTAATCATAGCGTTACGGGGCAAGTATATCATAGCGACGTCATTTGTAAGGAACTGAGGCACATATTGAGGGTGCATGATGACTTGTTGAGTGGTAATACGTTCACCACCGCTAAACAGCCAATTAGATCCCAAAATGACAGTGAATTGCCACGCTTGTCTGTTGCCATCGAACCAGCAGTGAGCAGCAGTCACAAGGCGATTGGGAGACAACAAGGAAGAACCACATACTGATCTTGTAGGAGTACCAATAAAGTCGATCAGTAAGCCAGCCTGCACAATAGAAAGGAAAGTTCATAATTTTGAAACTATTAGCTTACAGCTTCATAAAGCCGTAAACATCATAAGTTACATATAAGATTTTGCCTAGAACACATAAACCATTAAGTTAAAAAACTAATGAATACTTTATTACTGTGTAATGTACTCACAAAGTAGGGGTATGCGCCAACAGGAGCCAGTGCTCCTCCAACGATCCTGTTGCCTTTGGTTACGGCTTCGTTAGCTAGACTTGCTTCTTCTAGTGCCCTGATCTTCTCTGCAGCAGGAATACCGATGGCATCGTGGTAGTTGGTCTGTACTTCTAATACTGCAGAAGCACAGACAATCAGAGACAGACCGAACACTAAACTCTTCATTATTATGAATACTTACAATCCATTGTGTCATTCTCTTATATATCTAAGCTAATCGTCTTTGTTTCTGACGCTGATTATATATGATAAACTTGGGTTTTCTCGGTTGCCGTTCATCATCATCAGTGCCAACTATCTAATCGTAGGTTCAATGATATTCTGTTAATTCATTAATTCAGTATCGTATCAGTATCGTATCATTGAACATCATCATTAATAGTATTATAGCATTATTTTGGAGTAGTTTAAGCGTAGAGAATAAAGCGACAATCACAGCTGAGAGAAAGACAGGTAATACTGATATTGAAAGAGCGCACAGAGAAAAATGTGCCCTCAATTAATATACTAATAAGATATTAAATATTATTATTACATTCAACTTCAAAAGTTGATATCCTTCTTTACTAATAACTAGATTGAGTAAATAGTTGTGTACCTATCCTCAATATTATAAAGGTTTCAGTACACACACAATATTCATATTGGATGAACTAAAGAAAAGTCGTTACAATTATTCCTATCGATTTATTTTATTACATACTTTATACATTCTGTCACCATGTATTACAGAGCACACTCATGGTCTGATATCTAAATTAGAAATGATAAAATCCATGTATCTGGTGACTCGAGTGAAACCTGAAGGGTCACCTCCTTCACAACCGTTCAGTCTACTCCTGAAGGCGGTGATACCAATCTGGAACAAAGGTTTAATAAATTATAACTGATTGCAAGTCCACTGTAAAATATGTTGTTGGTAATACCCCTATAAGTTTCTCGGAGTTAACAACTCCTAAGGTTGTTAAAAAGGAGACTTGACTGCTGTTCTCAAATTGTAGAGACTGGCATAGCGCTTCTTCAATAGTTAAAAATCATTCGAATTATAATTCCGTAACCAATTTTATTTTCCGCTGATATTTTTATGGAATATGCCTGTGAAACCAGCTGATGAATCACCTGATGGTAAGCAATCGGCGCCGCCCATGGACAATCGGAACACCAGAGGCATTACAAGTGCCTCCTTGGACTTCCGGTAACCCCACTCATATAACGCAAGCATTGTTTCATGGTTTTCTGGTGTCATCACTCTGGTCGAGCCGGCCCATTCGTGCCGAAGCATGGCTCTCCCATACTTGATTTGATTTAACTTGAACACACTGTCTTCAAATCAAAATCAGCAATAATGTTCAATTGTCACATTAATTATTGAATTTAATTGTCTCATATTTAATTGTGGCAAAGAACTTCAAACTGACAATCACAGTGAAAAGCACAAAATAAACGTTTAATGCCTAACTAAGTTATGCAGCCCAGCTTGTAGTCACTCACCAATAATGGATTTCCATTGGAGTCCAAGGTGAAAAGGGGACCACCGGAGTCTCCGCTACAAATACCAATAGGTCCTACAGGTCCAACACCACTCGTGCAGATAATGTAAGGCGTCACTTTGAAGGGCTTGCATTCAGTGTTGTCGATCACCTGGAGCATGACGTGGCTCAATATGTCCTCAGCTGTATTTTGATCTAAAATGAAGTTCATTTAAACTCTTATTTTGGTAAAATTAACGTACCTACGATGAAAAATCTACATCTTCTCTAAATATAAACTGGTTCTACTGTTATTTATTATTAAATATGTATTAAAACTAGATTCTGCCCTCGGCTTCACCCGCGTTATTGTAGGATAAAAATAGTATATGTGTTATTCCATAACATAATCTATCCTTGTTCCAAATTTCAACTCGATCTCTTCAGCGGTTTTGTGATAGAGTAATAAACAAACACACAAACTTTCGCATTTCTAATATTAGTAAAATAAACACTACTATAGTGAATGCTTAATGCACATTATTTTAATTTACAGTATTGCTATTAAAATCAAAAGAGTAACAACTTACGTTTGTCGCTAGTACTTCCAAAACCAACAGCTATGGCTTTATATCCCACAAATAGGTTGTCTAACTCTGAAATATATGGTAACCTAATCGGATGTATAATATCTGTAAAACACGACAAGAGATCCAATATGAGAAATATTGAAAAAATAAGAAAATAACTGTCATCAGGATCTTTAATAAAACTAGATTGAATCATTTCAATTAAGTAGTGAAGCTTACTTACCCGTAAATATAACGTTCGTGGGCAAGTATAGCATAGCGATATCATTTCCTGCCCCGGGTTTATAATAAGGATGCATGACGACTTGTCTAGTGGCAATACGTACACCGCCAATATACAGAAAGTTGGAGCCCAAAACCACAGTAAATTCCGAGGCTAGTTCGACGCCATCATAATTGCAGTGAGCAGCAGTCACCACCCGACTAGGAGATAATAATGTAGAACCGCATACTGACATTTCTGGGGTACCAACTAAACTTATAAGTAAGCCAGCCTGTAGAAATAAATTAATGTTAGAATAATCTACTATATAAAAATAAGTCAGGTTTTCCTTCCTGACCTTATAACTCCAGAACGCACGAACCGATTTCCACGGTTTTGCATTTGTTGGAAAGGTCTCGGGCTCCGTGAGGTTTATAGCAAAGAATGTTATATAAAACGAAGCCATCTGGTGGCGAAACGGAGTTCGCGGGGTTTGCTAGTTTATCTTCTATCTATCTATACATATAATAAAATTGTAGAAAAGTGCTGTCTGTACATTGAAAATAAAAATAAAAAAAATAGCAGGGGTTATTGTTATGTCGATGTCGAACCCAAAAATGTAATTAACTTTTTTTTGTCTGTTTGTCTGTTTGTCTGTTCACGCTAATCTCAGAAACGGCTGATCGGAGTTGGATGCGCTTATATACTAAAATTCTACGCAACTTGAGGTATAACTTAGTTTTTGTTTCATCGAAATCGGTTCACTCTATCAGAAGATATGAGTAATTTAGTGAGTTCAAGAAGTAAAATATTACAACGCGCAATTCAGTATAGTACTCGAAACGACACCTTTGGAAAATTGGCTTCGTTTGGTCATTGGTTTGAAGTCCGTAGTAAAGATACTACAAGTAGAATAGGCTATAGGTATTTTGAAATCTGGCCTTTACGGTCGCCTTTTTTTTGAGGGGGGAAAATCATCCGTTGAGTTCTCCCGCCCAAGTGAGGCGAGAAGGAGTGTCAGACTCTTACTGACTAAAAACCACTCCGTTCCTACTCCTGCACTTCGAGCCGGAGCCCCGGCAAACCGTTAAGTCTTCCGCTGCTCTTTATTGTCATCACTCCTGTTGGGCCCCATCTGTGGTGTCGGGCGGCGAGTCACCCGTGCTCGCCGTCAGCAGGCCCGTGCTTACGGTGGCCGGAGATCGTCTCGCGATCCCCGACGCCCGGAGTGTCTCTCGCGACGGCTGGGGCGTCAGGTGGTTAGTTACCTCATGCGCTCTGCTTCCTCCTTAGCTAGGAGGAGACGGCATCCCAGTCCCTCTCGCTCGGTACCATGGTCTGAACCAGAGCCGAACGCGAGAGGTCGCCGTCGCCGATCACACCCCTGAGGACACGGCGGTGCTCAGCCCACGCAGGGCACACCGCCACCGTATGCTCCACCGTGTCCTCCGGGCGATCCTCACAGTGATAACACCCACGTTCAAGAATTAAAATATTTTAACGCAATTCAGTATAGTACTCGAAACGTAAACGTATAGGATGTATGTGTGTGATTGTGTTTGTTACTGGTTCACGCAAAAACTACAGATTGGATTTAGATGAAACTTCACAGTAATGTAGGTCATACATCAGAATAATATACAGGCTACAATTTGTAATGACTTTATGTTATTTTGGGCGTAATATAACACAAAATGTTAGCCAAATCTCTGTCTCTGAGACCAATACCGGCGTACGCTGCCTAAACCATAGGAGTTACACTAAGATAATGTACTGTAAGATTGACTGTCTTGATTAGTTCTAATTAAAAGTCTACGACGGCACATTTCTACCTTTTATGTGGAAGTCACAATGTCGATTTTTAAGAATATTTATTACGATTTATCTGAAAACCTGAAAACGGATATCTGACAGGTAACATTACTATGGTAACCAACCTGATGATTTGTAATTGTTATGGCGTCCTACTTCCATAATATATTTTGCATTAACATATAAAAATGAAGTTCTGTGGGTTTTCAAGGAATAATAGTATTCAGCTGCATCAGGGATCAGGGATTTTAAAGACAAAATACGAATTCAATTGACTGAATACAATTTATTCATAGACTAGACTCTGTCGGCGGCTTCTCTCGCGTTCTTTTAATGGGGTGAGGGAAGGATTTACAATAAAAAAATGAAATGATGCACGATTCTATGCTGGTCACAAATAACCCGCATACCAATTGTTAGCTTTCCACATTGAAAATTGCAAAATACCCCATACAAACTTTCACCTCTGTTTCACGGAAGTGGTTAGAAAAAGACAAAAAGTAGTTTATGACACTCTCCATCTTTTCAACTATCTCACATCAAAAACCTCCCTGACTCCGTTCTGTCGTGAAATACGGACAAACAAACAAACAAGCACATACAAATTTATATTATTAGTATACATTTCTTAAGTCATCTGACATTTGTGTGACAAGTGAGTTTACAAAGTCAATGTGTCATAGATTTTTTTTTATACTATGGTATTAATATTAAGGTATGCAAAGAGATTGACAGCAGTCTAAGGAGATAAAACAACGAATAAAATATTTTCAGTTTACTTGAATTCGTATTTTTTTATATGTATATCAAAACAACTAACTAAATGCACGTAGTTAAAAAATAATATTAGTCCTTTTCATTTTAGACCGTCAAGGCCAAATTCACTGTGATAGTTTGCTGTTTTTTTATGGCATAAGCCGGTAAATGAGCAGACGGATCACCTGATGATAAGCAATCTGCGCCGCCCATGGACACCCGTAACACCAGAAGTGCTAGAAGTGCGTTACCGGTCTTTTGGGAATTGGTACCAAACTATGGTTTAATTGAAATAAATGCTTTGACTTTGACAATTTGAGGATTGTCGGGGATTGGTGAGGCTGGGGGAGGGGTAATTGGGCCTCCGGTAACCTCACTTACACAGCGAAACACTCCTTTAGGTAACCGAGGGCTGGGCTCGATGTCATTGCAGCGGAAAGTCCCCTCTTTAAAAGTGGCTTTAGAGAGGCCATCAATGCGAGGACCGCCCGGAGAACACGGTGGAGCATACCGTGGCGGTGTACCTTGCGTGGGCTGAGCACCGCCGTGATCTCAGGGATGTAGGAAACGGTGACCCCTCGCGTTCGGCTCTGGTTCAGGCCATGGACCGAGGGGGATTGGGATGCAGTCGCATCCTTCTGCGAAGCAGTTATGCTTGCCAAGGAGAAAGCGGAGCGCGTGAGGGAACGAACTTCCTCACGCCCCAGCCGTCGCGGGAGACACTCTGGGCGTCGGAGATGGGCCGGCCACCAGCCACCGTAAGTGCGGTTCTGTAGACGAAGAGCAAGGGTAACTCGCCACCCGACCAGAACCAGTCCCGTGCATACGGCGCGCGCCTTACAGAGCCATGACACCATCATAGATGGAGCCCAGTAGGGCTGATGCTCGATACGGTGCCGCGGGAGGCCTAACGAGTTGACGGGGCTCCGGCTCGACGAGCAGGGGTAGGAACGGAGTGGATTTTAGTCTGTAAGAATCTGTCACTCCCTCTCACCTAACCCAAGGCGGGAGAAGTGATTGGATGATTTTCCGACCTCAAAAAAAATCTCCTTTAGGTAATGACAACCCGATGTGTGAAAAACTACCAAAAAAAACTCCTTATATTATTGGTATTGATTACGCTATGGAAATTATGGACAATAGAGCCAAGGGATGTATTTAGTCTTATAGAGGACATTAATATCAACATTAAAGTCCATGTATCATATCTAACTAACCTAATATCAGAATACCTATTTTTTCATTTAAATGTTTGCGATAGTAACGCACGTCGCACCGGTACATATCAGGTCACATTATAGGAGAGAGGAAATCCCAAAATGACGGAAACTATGCGCTAAAAAACCAGGACCAAGGACGTTGAAATAAAGAGGGGCTCTTACCTTTTAAACCATTGAACCTATTTGGTGAAATTCGATACAGCGATAGTTTGAGACCCGGGAAAGGACATCTAAAAGTTTTTAACCCGAAAAACCCACGAAACCGGGAACTGTGCTGTTAAAATCACTATATCTATTTGATTGAAATGCGATACAACATTGATTTGCAAACATAGAATAGTGAAACCTCACGAGACGGGCACTGTACGGGTAAAACCTCTATGAGATTGTTTATTTTAGAAACCACGAAAATAAATTCATTTCTCAATAAATATAATCTAGGTACAGCCGTAGAACTAAAAATGTCGTGGTGGCCCGGAGGTTTAAGACGCCCACTTCTCATGCATGAGGGTGCGGGTTCGAAACCTACCAACGGCAAGTACCAATGTGACTTTTTCCGAGTTATATGTACTTTCTAAGATTATTTAGACACCACTGACAAACGGTGAAGGAAAACATCGTGAGGAAACCTGGACTTATAATTTCTAATTATAAGTTTGAAATCGCCAACCCGCATTGAGCAAGCGTGGTGATTAATGCTCTAACCTTCTCCGTGTGAGAAGAGGCTTTGCTCAGCAGTGGGCATTTATAGGCTGTTGATGATGATGATGATGACAGCCGTAGAATATACCTTGACAAAGACTAATTTAAAAACCCAATTTATACAGAAGTCGCTATTTCACGCGGACGAAGTCGCGGGTAACAGCTAGTATTAAATAAAACTTAATAATGAATTGTTTTTTTTTGTGGGATAAGTCGGTAAACGAGCAGACGGATCACCTGATAAGCAATCGGAATCGCCCATGGTCACCTGGAACACCAGAGGCGTTTCAAGTGTGTTACCGGCGTTTTAGGTATTAGGAATTTGAAGATTTGTTAGAAATGCAGGGATTGGGGAGATTGGGGTAGGGGGAGGAATCTCATTCACACGACGAAACACAACGCAATCGTTGTTTTACGTCTGTTTCCTGTGAGGCCGTGGTATCACTCCGGTGGAGCCGACCGAAGCATAGTATTAGAAGTATGTTAGTACCTACTTAATTACTTCTACAATGGGTTAAAATTAAATATTTTAGGTACCCATTAACGCAAACTTTTAGCTATGTATTTTCTAAAGTCAACAGTACCCAAAAGTATTGTTGTTCAATAGCTTTATCAATATGAGGGATTAAGACAGTAAGTAGATACTTAGGTACCTACTTAGATCTAGTGAGTGAAAAATAGTACATACGAAAAAAGGGTACGCGTTCAAAGGTGCTAACTTTCCACCGATGATTCTGTCCTCGATAGTTCCAGTTTGATTAGCCTGAATGGCTTCTTCCAGATCCTTTATCCGCTTTGCAGTAGGAATACCGATGGCATCGTGGTAATTGGTCGGTACTTCCAAGAAAGCTATCACACCAGTCAGATATAAAACAAAAAATATTATAATATCCTTCATTATGTACCCGTGTTAAGACTAAAACTAATTAGTTTAAATCGAAGAATAGATTGCTACTTATATCGATTTATAATAAATAGTAATAATACATAAAGCCGTTAACAAATTCGCGATTTTTGCTTTTGTGATAGCATTTTTTGTCGTCATAATATTTTCTCTGACCTGTCAAGAAAAGACTTGTGTACGCCGCTGAACCGTGAACACCGATAGAGCTTTTCTTTGCTTTTCATCGAATGACTTCTACCGATGAGGCGAAAGGGAGTGTCAGACTCTTACTGACTAAAAACCAACCCGTTCCTACTCCTGCACTTCGATCCGGAGCCCCGGCAACCCATTAAGTGCTCCGCAGCTCCCTATCAGCTGATGCCGATATGGGGCCCAAAAGGGCATCAGCCCTATGGTCTGATGGATCTTTGAGTGCGCGGAACGGGACGCGCCATACACTCGGGTCTGATTCCGGTCGGGCGGCGAGTTACACCCGTGCTCGCTGTCGTCCACAGGCCTGAGATCATAACACGGTTAGAGTTTTGAATATCTCTAAATAAGAGATCCGTAGTTCGAAGTTTCTACTAAAGTCGATGGGGTAGCGTAGCCATGTCTGCCAAATAGTTGACTTTCAACATGTTGAGCAACATTTTCTACAGCATGTTGCAGTTCCAATGTTGCTTAGTTATCAAGGCAATAACAAGGCTATATTTTTGTTACTTCACCAAAGTTTACTACCTATTCAGCTAGTCTTTGGTTTTATTAGTTAGTAACAGAAGTGATATCAGTTGGACTGTTCTGTACGCTGTCAATATAAATTCTCGAAGTAAGCTCGATCGCATTCTCGCCCGTCATTCGTCGACTTAATTCTCATAACCAATGACATAGCCGACCGCGATCGAGCTCACTTCGAGACTTCGAATTGACACCGTATAGAGACCTTAGTACGAATTTCTTTTTCGTTTAGTAATCGTAACGAGTACGCGTTCGGCGCTGTGATTGGCCGACTCTAATGAACCAACCAATCAGAGCACAGAACGCCGTCTCGTTTCGAAACTCGTACTGGCCTTAGTACGAGTTTCGAAACGAGACCTTAGTACGAGTTTGTTTTACGTTGAAAGTAATCGAAACGAGTAAGCATTCGGTGCTGTGATTGGCCGGCGCCAATTAACCAACCAATCAGAGCGCCGAACAAGGTCTCATTTCGATTACTTTAAACGTAAGACAAACTTGTACTAAGGTCTCAGAATAGCCTAGTTCCATATATGACATGAAACCAGCTTTTCAGTTAATCAATATTTAGGCTTTGTTTGTTGTAATTCTGAAATCCCCATTTAACCACAATCACATTTGTAGTAAATAGAACCTATAAGATTTTGTGACGTCTGCCTTTGTAATTTTTAGTACGTAGGTAGTTATCGCCAGTGAAACAATAGACTTTTTCTATGCTATAACATTTCGGTTTGATAAAGTTATTTACAATAACTATGCTGATTAGGTAAACCTAATGTGATTTGTAACGGAACGGTAACAATGTTTGTCAATACTTAATTTTAATTGTAATATTAGTTGACTAACGAATCTATGTACCTAGATTATATAAGATTGAAATGATAGACTATATTTTATGACTATGGGTGCAAATAATGCTTTAACGGAAGTTATAAAAAGTCGTCAATATGACTTTATGAATTGGGTACTTTCCTTAATTAAAAATAAATTGTTTCCACTGTTCAATACAATATAGTATTAAAAAATAATTACACCTTCATTAATTAACTTTATAACAAACTTAATTTTAGTATTTTTTTTAGCTATTTTTTAAGAAATAAGTATGCTGTTTGACGCTAAAAAACGTAACGTCACAATACACCACCTCGTACAAAATTCACAGAAAACTGTCGTTTTGACAGTTCGAAAAAAGTATTGTATTAGACTAGTTGGCAAGTATGGCATATCTACATTTATTGTTGGGTTTCATTTTTGTAACATTTCAATAAGTTGATACGTACTGACGTACCTAACTGGCTTAACTACCTATTGAAAAACCGCTATTCGTAGAAAGCTTAAAGACAACTAAGTTACTCGGAAAATGTAAGGAAGCATTAAGAAAAGCAGAGAGTAGTAATATTTCTTTAATAAAAAGAAAAAGGTCTATATGTATAGGATATCAGTCATCGTCAACTTAAAAGAAAATGTTCAGTTTATTTACTTATAAAGATAACGTAAATATGCGTCAAAAAGACGAAGTGTTTACTTAGTATTGTAAAATTAATATACCTAATCAGGTATTAATTTCATATCGTAATCTTTGGCGTTGATTTTGAAATCGGTGCAAAACTATACCTAAGTACTACCTTCAAAAATAATCTGAAATGTAGTGATTAACGAACGAGATTAATTAATAACTGCGGCCGTTAGTCTTGCTACCAAATTATAGAAAATAAAATAAATAAGATACAAAATAAAATAGATATATACGTCAACATTTTGTTAAACTTGATATTATGACTGCCTGATTGGCCGAGTGGTCGCATGTACGACTGCTGGGCAAGGGGTCTCAGGTATCATTCCCAGGTCGAGCAAAGTATTACTAGGTTTTTAAAAAAATCTCAGTAGTAGCCCGGAGTCTGGAAATGTGCCCGATATATGGCAATAAGCTCACCCCTTATTACATGGGACTCATAACATAAAATAGTGAAAAGTAGGTGTTAGATACATTGTACAGTGGCAAGTGCCGTAATGTACACCTCTGCCTATGACAGATTAAACAGATAACTGTATCAATTTATTAATTTCAGGGTCCAAGTGCAAAGTAGCAGGATGCTCTTGCTCTCAAGAGAGGTAAGTAATTACTTACCTCTCTTGAGAGCTCTTAGAAATTTCTAAAATCCCGCAATATCTTAAAATAGCCCTAACTAAAACATAAAGAATTTTTTTCTTCACCTTCATCAGCCAATGTCTTGACCCCGTAAAGATCCCTGAGAAAGTTACCCCTTAGCAGAAGTGGGTTCAAATAAAATAATCACTGAGGACAATTCTTGATCTGTCGGACATCACAAATCTGATAAAAATAAAACGCAATTAGGAAAAAAGATACGTATATTCATTCATGTTACAATTAAACGAAGTATAACAAACTCAATAGAGAATTGGTACTCCAGTCAGTTGGCTGATCCAGTCGAGGTACCGTTGTACCCTCGTGAACACTGAGGGTTGGTCGTCATTGCAGCCAGTGGCGCTGATAAATGAAGTCACTCCAACCTGTCGCAAATGTTATATAATATATCAAGTATTATATGATTTAAATTAATAGTACCAATGTGACGCTTTTATCACACAGATTACATGAATAGATTTAAGTACCTCCCGCTTATTTGGGACAAGGGTTTCGAAGACTATTTTTAAGGGGGGAAAATCATTGAATAGTCATTCGCTCGCTCCAGCCTGGGTGAGGCGGGCGGGAGTGTCATACTCTTATTGACTAAAAACCACCCCGTTCCTTCTCCTGCACGTCGAGCCGGAGCCCCGGTTACCCGTTAGGTTCTCCGCGACTCCGAATCGGCATCGGCCCTATTGGGCCCCATCTGTGGTGGTCTGATGGCTCTTTGAGGCGCGCGCGGAACGCAACGCGCCGTACGCTCGGGAAGGGTTTCGAAGACTTGGGATGTTCTCGACTCGAGTTGTGAGACATTTTTTTATTATTTTTAATTTTTTATGTTTAAATATCTTATGTAATACGTTAAGGTATATGTTACTTGTATTGTCACATATACCGTTGTTACATTAAGCAAGCAAATAAACAAGTATTCAGATAGGGTTACCTACGTCAAGTAATTAGTCATTTCTATCCATCGTCTAATGACGATAAACGAACGGAAACAATACCTATGGTTGAGATAAAAAATGACACACGCATAATATGATATATATCTTAAGTAGGTTAGATACGAACACAAAATAATAGTTATTTCGACTGCTTATTTGTACTACGTAATACGTAAGGTTTTTTGAAAGGGAAAATTATACAATGACTGCTCCCCGTCTTGGGTGAGGCGGGAAACGTCAGATGCTCACAGGTTTAAAACCGCTCCGTGGCTACTCCTGCTTCGAATCAGGGCCCCGGCAACCTGCTAAGTTGTCCGCAGCTCTGTATACGTAGAGTAACGTAATATTTAGATGAAAAGTCGAAGACCTTTTTAACAAATCACATTCATCCGATTACCTAAATCCATGGATTTTCCTAATTGAGCGTGCGTCATGCTTGATTGTAATTTAGATAATATTTAAGTAGTTCTCTTACTTAATATTGGAGTTCCCAAATAAAGAAATGTACTTATTTTCATTAAAATTATCCTTTGGGTTTTTTGTGTTCAAATAACTAAAACGTCACCCAATTTTAAGTCGCGCTTAACCCGTTGAAATTCATCCCCTAAATTTGTTCATACGTTGTTCAAAAGTAGTCTCTAAACTTCGAAAATAAGGTGTATAATGTAGAGGTAGTTAGTGGAGAGCGGTCACCGGTGACCGCTTGGGGATATATGGGTATCTATACTCGACACTGGCAGTATAGTCGACAAAATCGTTTTTGGAGACTCGTTTGACAAAAAAAAAGTATCTATAGTCCTGTCACAACAAATTCTTTGTAAAATGACAGAGATGGCAAGATATTTAAGTACTAACTCAAGCTTTTCGATATTCGGGCGTTAAGTGTCTTTTAGTTTGATAAACTTGTCTAATTACTACCTCGGAGAAGTCAGTGTTGTTTTATTTTTTAAAGACTCTGTGGCTTTTCTGTAGATATAGATGGTGGTTTTAGTGAGGTTATTAGAATCCCAACCTTTCTTCGTACTTTACTAATATTTTCCTCCAAAACTCAGGCGCCTTAAGATGAAAATGTGCTTGTACTTAGTTGGGCCTATATAAGTATCATACCAGATTACATTTTTGTAGGTTTTTCTACACTTTCTGTAGTTGCCCTAAATGTATTCAAACTGTCTCTCGCCCGCGATTCCAACTAAGCGTCAGTTAATGCAGTTTGAAACATACATACAAACACATTATTGTTTGTCTGTAATGTATCAGGATAAGATAGAAAAGAGCATTAAATAGGATTAAAGTTAATATAATTGAATTAACGATAAGAATGTAATTACCAAAATATCCTCTTCAGTTGCGTTGTAGAATATCGTCAGCGGTCCGCCGTTATCGCCCTGTAATGTAAGAATTTACTTAATAATAAATTATATAACATTAAGAACAACACCCTTTATTTTATATTATATTAATAATAATAATTACTTTACAAACTAAGTATAAAAAACTGTCTTCAACCCCTCTTCTTTTCAAGTCGGTTAATTAATATACTAGAACCTTCTCCTTAGTATTTTTTAAGGGGGGAAAATCATCGAATGACTTCTCCCGCTTGGGTGAGGCAGGAGGGAGTGTCAGACTCTTACTGACTAAAAACAACCCCGTTCCTACTCCTGCACTTCAAGCCGGAGCCCCGGTAACCCGTTGAGTTCTCCGAGGCCTCTTCTCCTAGTATAACAACCACTTTTCTAAAAACCACATCAAAATTGGTTCAGCCAATCGCGAGATAATCGCGCACAAACATACATACATACAGTCATACACACACATATATACAGGTCGAACTGAGAACATCCTCTTTTTTCTTTTTGAAGTCGGCTAAGAAACGGTAGGATAGACTGTACTTTTTCACCCACTTTTCAGTTGGTATTAACTCATTATCCCCATTGATAACTAGAAAGCTATTGGCCAATTGTATGTAGGTAAGCGTTTTTTTTTCAAACGTCGATAAGTTCATCTGTAGTACTGAGTCGAGTTATCAAAAAATTGTAAAATCATTCGTTTCATTTCTCCATGCCGATGGATTATGGGTAGTATTATGACAAGTAACACATGTAGATTTTAATCTACACTCAAATTAATTCAATACTTACACGATTTTAAAAATAATGATAATAATCTTGAATTTTCTAATTCTTTTGTAGATAGGAAAACCCCAAAGTAGGTACCTGATTCCCAAGATTGGATTATCAATCATGATATTAATACATTTTTCATGAAACATTTTCTTTATTATTTACACTAGACTGTCAACGTTGTTGTGTTGTAATAGAGTTAAAAATCTATAAAATTACTAGCTGACCCGGCAAACGTTGTTTTGTCATATAAATAATTTTGTAGAAGGGTGAAAATTGAGGATTGTATGTATTTTTGTATATCATAAAAATATAGAAATTAAAAGTTTTGTCTAAAAAATAAAAAAAAATTAGGGGTAGCCCTAACATTTAGGGGGATGAAAAATAGATGTTGGCCGATTCTCATAGATACCGGATAAGCACAAAAAATTTCATCAAAATCGGTCAAGCCCTTTCGGAGGAGTATGGCAACGAAAACTGTGACACGAGAATTTTATATATTAGATTTTGCCATTTTGAAAAATAAACGAGTTTCGCTTCCATTGTATTTTGTTCCTCACCTTGCAAGTACCGGCAACGCCATGGAAGGTGCATATAGTACTGTCAGGCAACTGGTTGAAGTACGTGGTGTTGCAGAAAGTGTCCGTTAACACTGTCATCCGCTTCTCACGAAGCGTCGGCGATATGAAGGTCACTCCTGTAGAATATGACACATACACTCTACACAACACAAACTGAACACTCACGGTAAATTTAGTCATTCAGGTACAGGCTAAAACTATAGAGTCACCTATTACGGTCCTCCCAAACTTCAAAAGCTTAGATCTTGGTGCTTACTCTTAAAACCAATCTCAATGCAATTTGAATCCAGTAAAATCTCAATAATTATTAATTATTCAATGTCAAAACTATACAACCCTTATCGTAGCTGTTAAGATAGCATTCAGAATACGGAATATAAACCAAACTCAATACCATTTACTTCATTCAATATCCACGCAATACGGATGCAATGGGCGCCAGTGTTGCAACTCAAGAGTACGAAATTTTAGAATACCAATGTCGATCGATCGAAATTTTATTATTGAATTTGAAATTGGATTTAACAGTAAGCCCCCTGGTCTTTCATTTTGATCTGATTTGCCTTACGTATCACCAGATGTTAAAGCAACGACGAGGGGAAAGTATTAGGCCTTTGGTAACACCAGTCACACGGCGAAACACAACGTAGGTAAGCGTTGTTTCGCGCCGTTTTTTTTGTAAGGCTGTGTTATCTATGTTATGTGTATTATAGATTTTAAAATTAAATTTTTGATACTAAAGTTATTAACGTTTATTAGGGATGGTTTTGTGTAAATGTACCTACCTATTAGCCTGTAAGTTTAATTGATGTTCTTTGTGCTTATGTTCTTTTTTTTTCTTTGTCTAAATTATTTTACGCTTATTAAACTGTCAAACACCAAGCGGTCACCGGTGACCGCGACTATTGTTCTTTAATTGTGTCTATAAATACGGTACTCGACGAGTTAAGGCATTATGTGTAATAGTTAATGTTGATGAAGGTTATAGTAGTTTTTAAGTTTACTTATAATGTGTAACTGCATTTATTGTATTAGGTGTGCCTGTGGTGATAAATGTAATGTTTAAATATAAATAAATAAATAAAAGTCAGTTCTGTCGGGCTGGCCTATATGTGCCAAAGTAAGTTAAGATTTAAGAACAATCTTACAAACCCTCAGCGGCTATGCCCCACCCGGACACGGTAGCCCCAGCCCCCGCGAAGTTGAACGTTGATATGTTGCGGTACGGCAGCTGGATCGTAGATATCATATCTAGAGAATCAAATAAGACTAATTATCTTTTTTTTATAGCATAGGCCGGTAAACGAGCAGACGGATTACCTGATGATAAGCAATCAACGCCACCCATGGACACCCGAAATACTAAGGCGTTACAAGTGCGTTACCGGCCTTGTGGGAATTGGGAATTTGAGGATTGTGGAGAATTCGGGGATTCGGGAGACTAGGGAGGTGGGTGATCGTTTAACGTCGGTTTTCTGTGAGTCCGTGGTATCACTCCGATTGGGCCGGCTCATTCGTGCCGAAGCATGGCTCTCCCACACTTAGATCTCTATCTATATCTATACTCTATCTATACTCTCTCTATCTATATCTATACTCTATCTATACTCTCTCTATCTATAATCTCTATATATACTCTATAAGTATTTATCAGTTCTACATTTCTTCTTCGTGTTTCGGGATATTGTCATTGTAGCTTCTGTCGCCTTTCTAAGTGATGGCTTGCTAATACTGTTGTTATCTCATGATCAAGCGTAGGACTAGACTTTTATAAACACAACATTGAATTATTTTCTGAGTTTTAATTTTGTTCCTAACTAAGTTTAAGATCCCATAAACGTCGTGCTAATATGAGGTAGTCAATGGGGTAGACGACTAATTTTTATTTTAATGTCCGTCTGATAGATTATTTAAAAACATTAGACACGTATTTTTTATTTTCTCACAGAAACGAATAGTTTCGAAGATATATTGATTTGAAATGTCGCGTGACGTCACTTCTCAGTACATTTTATACTAAGGAATGACGTTTTAGCCCCCACTCCTAAACTTTGATTCGTTTTATCTAAGTATTGTTTTATTATACGACAAAATAAAAAAATACGTGTCTAATATTTTTTCATTACCTAACTTACGGACTAATTATATTTTTAATTTTCATACCCTGTCATCATCCCCATTGCCTGTCAATACTTACCTGACAGCTGAATAGTGTTGGCTAGTCTTAGCAATGCAATGTCGTTAGCGAAGGTGTCAGGATCGTAATCCGGGTGGATCACCAGCTCGGCCACGTTCACCACGCGTCGGCCGTGCTCGTAGCGATCATACAGGGAATGGGCGCCGAGAATAGCCTGGGGAATATGTTTTTAACACTGGTACCTACCTATTTTTATTTACTATCTAGTGAATATTTAATAAAAATATTTTATTTTTATTTAATCTCACAATTGAAGATTATGTGCCTCATTTATCAGTTACCTTCTTTCCTAAAATGCTTCAGAATTTTAGATTTCGTTCAATTTGTATACAATGTATTTCTAGATTTTATTGGATTTTTGTTCTTATAGGTACTAGGTACATTCATACCTGTACGTGATTAACTTCTTCTCCGTTATGGAAACAGCAGTGCGCTGCAGTGATCACCCACTCGGGGCTCACGAGAGCTCCTCCACAAAATCCTAGATCTCCTGTAGTGCCCACCCGCGAGTATAAGGCCACCTGGAAAGGTCACAGTGAAACTAAATCCAGAGGTCCTAGGAAACAAATAACTAAACTTTCACCATTCATTATTCCTTTTGTGAAAATACCCCTTAAACGTTTGCTGCTTCAAGGACTGGGTAGTGACTAATGACTTTGGTAGTCGTTATAAAGAACGGTCTGGAAGCCCAAAACTGTACTATGGCTCAAGATAGACTTGCTTTGTATTATTTATATAAATATATTCCTTACATCTTGAAAGATCCTACCAGACACTAGAAGAATATTGTGATATTCCTTAGAACTTACCATGAAAGGTCGCTCATTTGGTTCAGATCTATCTCCGCCCGCGATTCTAGGAGCCACATTTCGGGAACAAAGTTCTCCTTCACACACACTACCACCAACACTCCATACGAACATAGACCATAGGCACAATATTTGTAACATTATTTAATTTATTTAACTATTTTTTGTAAGCGTTCTATGTGAGAAATGCTATTTTATCTCAGTTCTGTGACGAATGTTAAGTGTATGAACAATTTGATAGTCGATATCAATTTCCCTGTATTTTATCTTGATAAGAGATAAATGTACTGGGAATGCTCTGACCTAGTCTCACCTCTCTAAACTTCCGTCTTTGAAATTCCGAATGCTTTATCTTACTTCTCTTCGTAATGTTACATATCGTACCTTTTTGTATTTATCTAACTAATACTGAATCTTAGGGACCTATATAGATGATTGTAAATAAATAAAACGAACGAAGTATTTGAAAACATCATTTATTTTATATTCTCATCAATAAAGAAGTTCTTTAAAATAAAATAAGTATAAACATAGGTTTACGAAACATGCAGTGATCAGTGTGGCAGTAGAGGGCGACACACAGCATCGCCACCGCCACACTCGCCAAATATACAATAACCGTAACACGATTAGAACTAAAAATGTGTGTACGTAATATTATGAAATGTGAAATTTTGTTATATTACTTATAAAAATTAACAATTTGTGAAAATTGGCAGTAAAAATAATTATTACAAAATGAATGTTTAATAGAAATACGTCATTTTATAGAAGCACTTATGAGGCGATCAAGCATACTTACAAGTTGGATACTAATGGCGCGGGCCGCCGCCGCCCGCCGCGCTACGCTGTACTATACTATCGTCTACTCGGCCGCCTCTAGCGACGGCCGACTAACAAGAAATCTGATAATTATTATAAATGCGGCTTCAGCTGGCGGACCGCGGCGACCCCGCGCCGGGAGAAGACACTTTATAATCAAATTACATCTAATACAATTTATGTACGTAGCTTACGTTATGTTATCGCGCGATGCTCCGACGAAGCAAAGCTCACGATGTAATTTATTAGTATAACGTCAATCCACTGGGAAATCGTCTATTGAATGTAAATGCGGTTACAATCATCCGTCTTAGCTAAGTTAAACATTATCAAATGCGATAGTCAAATTCCGTCAATTGGTTTTACATTGGTCAATAATAGTTTAAAACTTTTTAATCATTTAAATTGAATCTTTAATAAATCGCACGACATACATTTCTAGTTCAACTGAATTTACATTACACTAGCTTCATATCTTTTAAATATAAATAATTAAAATATATATATTCTCAATCTGAATTTAAACACTAAATCATCTATGTATAAATAGCGACGCATTTAGAATTTTATAATAATAATATGTATTTATTTCATTTAATCATAATCGTTTCATATCATAACAATTACACTTTCGAGGGGTGGGATCGTACATACCTGGATAAAATCTACTATAATATCTTCAATCTTCGATACGAATATCGAACAATAAATACGGTTTACGAGGGCGAACGATCGAACACTCAGATACCGAACAGTCTCAAATAACGTTTCGTACGCAACAAAAAATAATAATAATAACATTGAACGGTCGACGGTGGATAGTGCCGCGAGTCGACATATTTCGTCATTAGCAAAGCTTACAGCTGCAAGCGTCGTGAGAAATGCGCGGCGCCCAGACACCCGGGCGCCGCCGCGTACTGAGGAAACTTGCGCCGCCTCGCCACGCTCCTCAACTGGTTAGCTGGAACATCACGACATAGTTACAACTCGCTCCTCCACTCACTACTGACACAATAAAGCAGAAAGCGTTAAAGATTAAGGCTGTAGCAACATAATAAGAGATTGAAATTAGTTTCAAATAACAATGTAAAAGTTAGTACATTTATAGTTAGTAGTGGTGCGCCTAGTGGACACAGCGGTATCATTTACTACTACATGTTTTCCTACACCGAAGAAGATTAATTTGAAAAATCTATTGTTATCATTATTTCAAAAGTAACTATTTTTATGCGCTCACGATTGACGGGCACAAAGTTTGTGGGGTCTCTGATATATCATACGAAAAATCCACAAAATTTGTTTATACAAAAGAAGTCTCTAAACATACGGAATACAGAAATACGGTCTCTATAAAAGAAAAAGGTCAAAATTGACATTGACGAAGCCCGTGGTAAAGAAATGGGTTTTTAATGGAACATTATGAAACACAATTATGGGGCCCAAACACGATTGTTCCCAAATCACCCAAGGTTGATATACCCACGTGCCGCGTGCTATACGCTAGCAGCTCTATGGAGAATATAAGAAGCAGATAGTAGTAATTGCAGCCCCCGCGAGATTTGTGGAGAGCAGCCTAATCAAGAAAAATTACTTCTTATAATTGTATTGTACTCTGAATCAGTTGTAAAATGAGATATAATTACTTGGGATTGGGACTATACGAATCCTAATAACAATTCTACGGATATTTTGGTCTAATAGGAAACTGCACTAAAGGTGTATAGTATAGCTTTGCAGGTCCTGCAAAGCTATAATGCGATACGGTAGAGGCCTGGCATAAGCGGACAGACAGTTCCATACTCCGCAAGCCCAGTGCTGTAGTAGGGCGAGGTACGAACGTGTGCCGTTAGGGTGCGTATAGTTGGGAGAGGAGAGTGACTGACTTTTTCTTGAGCGTGAAGAAGGAGCGTCGCTTGGGCTCGGCGTTGTGCGGCGCGGGCAGCGTGTGCGAGCGCGGCGCGGGCGCGGCCGTGCGCGCGCGCAGCGCCTCCAGCCACCACGACATCTCCGCCTCGTCGTGCGCCTGCAGCAGGAACTCCGCGCCGCTGCCCAGTCTGCGCGCCCAGCATGGGTTAGTACAACATACATCAACCCATGTAACGGGATTGATACAAAGTTTGCTAGAGTTTCTAGTAAAACTATAGCACTTTTAAAACATCAAAACGCTCATAAAATAGTCCTTATTGAAACTATTTCCACATTCTAAACAGTAATATATAAAGTCAAAAGTCCCACCTAAGACGGAACACATGCTTCTTCTTAGTGTAGTTGGCGGCGACCTCTACGACGGCGCCGTTGAGGTCGAGCGGTGCCTCGCCGCGCCAGTGCGCTTCGGGTGACGCCTTGTACGCCTTCTGGTCCTTGTAGAACGCCATGCGGCCGTCCTTCGCCACCACGTACACTTTGTCCCATGATCTGCGAATATTGATAACGAACATAAATTACCATGACGATTTCCATTGCTGAACAGAAGTCTCTCCAATGTATTATTACCGTTTATATTCTAGTTGTAAACTGTTTTGCAACAGACTTTAAAACTTATTTAAATCGTTAACAATTTGAGGAAGTTTGGTATTCGATTGATGATCAATTGATATCTCACCTGTTGGAAGCTCGTTTGGCGGCGGACTCCCACTCGTGTTTGCGCACCAATGTTCCCTCTACGCCCTCGTCCTCACTCGCGGGACTAGCGCCCTCTGTATACAACACACACTTCGTACATACGTTCACACAAATGCATCAGATCTGGTCACTTCGCAACTTAAACACTCTTTAGAGAGCTCTTAAGGCACAAGTGACATTAAGTCGAGGTAGATAGACATTACTTAGCCTGTACCTATTTTGTCAAGCTAAATTCATTCCAGACAGAAAGTGGCAAGTAATGTATAATTACACCGACTCTGTAATTTCATGAAATAACTCATTTAAAAGCACACTAAGTTCTGACGAGCGCTTACATCTAACATCTATATCTCGCACCTATGTCATAAATCTAAAGGGTGATAGGTTTGATACGCAGGCGTCATGTCCGAACCCTAACAATTTAGAATGAAAGCCACGCATAAAAGTCGTTTTATTGGGCACACGGGACACATGCGCGTAACACACTGCAGCACAAACAAAGCATCATCGCGTAAACACATTGTGATCATGTTGATAGCGGTCAACGGTAGTGGATGGACAAACTTAATTATTCACCTACTGTGATATCAAGATACAGTGCTATTGTAATTTGTTTAGGTGGTGTGCTCTACTGTGAAAAAGCAGATAATTAAGTATTATATCTATCACGTCAAATATAAACTTAAAGAGCCATCCATATTGTTCCATCTACGAAATTCACTTCACACTATAAACATCAGTGTTTATCTGCATAGTAATAAAACTTGTCCATCCATAACCATTCCTACCACGGATACCTTCATCGTCGCTATGATGAGATCCGGCGAGCAGTTTCTTCGCCGTACGCCATCGGAAACTCCTGAACGGCGACTTGCTTCGCGACCGCGACTTCACCTTACCGGAACTAGACGGCGTGGCTGGCGTCGAACTCGTCCCGGGAGCTGTCCGCGGCAGACGGGGAACGGGCGGGTGTCAAGGAGTGCAGCGTTACAATGCAAGGGGGGTGAGGGGGATACGGGGGGTGACAATATCGGACAGCCGGCAAATGTAGGTGATGGGATGAGATGGGGGAGAACAAAAAACAAAAATAATTCAAAGCAACATAAAAACAAAACTGCGTCGCAGCAAAAACAAAAGCGGTTTCATGCGTTTTTTTTTTTTTTTTAACTGACATTGATAGGTAATTAACGAAGACATGGATGAGAACATGCATTTAAGGTACACATACGACATACAAATACTGTACATGTTAGGGTACCGGCACGCCATTACTCGACATCGGGTTAACAATTCCACTTACATTCCATACACAGTTATGGCTCAAATATGACAAGCATTAAGGCTCACCAATATAACTCGCAATGTATACTTTACCTTGTCCATGTAAAGTGACATATTCGGACTTAATGACACAATCAATTTTGAACCATAAACCAATAGTTAATCTACATGTTAATCTACGATACTCACTGGAGAGGCGAGCAGGTTTGGCGGGCGTCTGTTTTGAGGTCGAGGGTCGGGGCGGAGAGTCGGTCTCGGTGAGAGCGACGGCCACCGGGGGCGCGGGGGTCACGGGGGTGGCGGGGGGAGTGGCGGGGGACGGCTCGCCCAACTCTGCATGCGTACATTACATCTACGTGCTAGTTACGTCTACACACTACGTGCTTACACATGCTTACGTTACGTATTACTACATGCTACTAACTGTACACACGTATTCATACACACACATACCTATAGTAATAATTTCAAAAATATGTATTTCAATGTGTGCTTCTAAGCCAATGAATACGTGTCCACAGTTGCATATCAAAACATACATGCTACACAACAAGTTTTCTACTTCGCTATTAAAATTATTATTTTAATAATTACCAATCTACTAGAAGATTGACATTCCAGTTAAGACCCTACCTATACAACATATCCCGGCTAATTATTTCAATTTATTTTGTTTCTTTTGTTTGATGATGAGACCAAGCATGTTAAGACCCATTTTTATATAGCAATCTATGGTAACCTTCGCCCCATGTTAGGTGCACAAGTGATGATAGTAAAGTGCTGTTTATTGTATAATATTTGAATATACTTACATTCAACAATACAAATATAAGCTATAGACAAAGCTGATGCATATAAGGAAGCAAATAGAGTGAAGCTGGTATAGTTTAGGTGTAATACCTACCTTGTTGGAGTCAGCTCCAATTGTACAAGAATACAGAAAGCATCGAACACGACTTAGAGATAATAATAGTAATAAAATTGTTTGCAAAGTTCACAAGGTAGCTTCCCCACTAGCCAGTGTATAATAAACAATTAAAATTGATTTTTTATTGTTATTTTTATAGTTTAGAGAACACAGCCACCTCACTAGCAGGGATACTAATATGAAATGATAATATAATTCATTTAAATGATAGAGACAGTAGAGACATGAGAGACAGAGTATCAAACCATCACCGTGATTAGCAGTATGACGTCACATAGTGTATGATAAAATATATACGACAATAATTTAAAAATATTCATTATAAATCTAAAAAATATGATGACAATAAGACAGTCAATTATCGGGGCATAAAACAATCAGTTCAGTAATAAAGTACGTGATAAAGTATGTAAGTTTTAAGCCCCGAGCGATGATTGTAATGAATGATTCTTGTAGTATTTGTGATGATGAGTTGACAGAAAGAAAACCATCACCTTAAGAAAACGAGCCTGTGTAGTGTGAAGAATAAATTGAAATCGTGCAATAAAATAAAACTGTGCTAGAACCCCAACTACGAATTACGTAAAACATAACCTACGAAAATAAACCTATACGAAAGAAAATTCTTTAAGTACAATAAAAGCTTTCAAGCTAATAAAAATTAATCACAGTTATAAACTAACTCCCAGTGTGTCTAACTATTTCGAGCGCAGTGTAACCCGACAGAAATACAGAGTATACCCATATTAAACTACCGTAGAAGCTCATGCCAACAGCCGGGTATATTTTTACATCGGTAGGTTTATAATAAGCGCTCTTATTACCTGGCTGGGAATGTGGTCGCTCTTGGGCCTTCTCAGCCGCTTTAGTGGATGTTCTCCTTACGACTACGCGTGTGCATGTGTGGACAACACATCGGTAAGTATCGGGCCCTTGTCGCACGCGATATTCCATCGACTAACTCTACCATGCTTCGTTTATCGTGTGACAACCGAAGCAATGGTACTTATATTTTTGAATTGATTTTGTTAGTCGACTGAATAAGCGTTTAAAAAGGACATAAAGAAATTCACACGTAAAGCGGCAAGCTTGCCGTAAGCCTTCTTGGCTGTAGTGCGAAATGTGCTTTATTTCTTTTTACTTAAAATTCAATATATCCTACGAGTTTTCTTATATAATTTAAAAGTATACTTCATCAAAATTACTAATTGTGTTATTGCAATATGCAAGCAGCATTCACCGTTATGGTGAAAGTTAGTGGAAGTTTTTTAAATTATCGTTTTGTACTGAACAGTATATTCTGATTCGATAGTGCTAGAAGAAGACATTACACATGCGTGCTTACATTGCAATCCGTGAGACGAAGTGATGTTAATATTTTAGAAATGAATATTCTTTTCATTCACGATTTTCTTGTTAATACTTTGAAATAACAGCCTAATCAGTCTGGCTTCAGAAATGAAGCTTAAATACGTTATTATTCTATAATATTATCTTACTTATGTAAATTCATAGTTATGTAAGTTCATCGTACTGTAAAAGAGCGACCAACAAATACTTTCATCATAATACTTTTTAGAGTGTACATTTTCTACATTATCGACCTGTAATGGTAAACTGGTCGCACTTTTACAGTACAAAAATATATCAACGAGTCATAAGACCTTGAATTACACTTAGATAGAATATTTTGTAGTACGAAATGAGTTACTATAGCCACAATACCTTGTGGTAGTTGCTCGGGAGTCTGCGCGCGGTCCACGGCGTCCTGCGCGGCGGCGGCGGCGGCCGCGGCCTCCGCAGCCTCGCGCTCTCTCTTCTCCCTCTCTGCAGCCTCGGCAGCCTCCTGTCTTCGCTTCTTCTCTTTCACTTCGAACTGTAATTCAAAAGACCAGTGAGTATGTCAGGAAAAACATGTAGCTGTTACGTGGTTAATTGTTTCGTGCTTAGCTTTAGTATTTAGCAAAGATTACGCAACATATCGGAGATTCTTCTCCTTCACTTGTATTTAACAAATTGGAGTTCTTTAACTTTTATATTCAAGCAAATAGAAGATTTATTAAAATGTATGTTTTGTATTATTATAAGTACAAGTTTCGAATATCCAATTAGATAGTTATGTGTTAACCTCGCCTCCCATGCATCTAAATATTTACTGCAAAAGCAAATACTTGGCAGCGCCCAAGCAGTAGCATGCAATACTCCAAACACTACACTTACACTATCCAAGTAGTTATAGTACCATGCACCGTCGGGAAACAAGAGGTTACGGGTTTGTGCCAGTAGGAGAAGGGAGGAACTTAAAGGTATACTCTTGACGTCTTTCCCAAGATCATTAATAGCTTTCGAACTACTCGTCAGACCAGGAAGCGAAAGCACTGCAACTTCACCCTTAACGTCATTCTCTGGTTTCACTTTCTTAGACCATTTCCTAATGAACCGCTTCAAACTAGATTTTGATGAACTATTGCTTTTATGTCTTAGTAGCGACACGTTCGGATACACGTTTAGATACGACAACCGCTCCCATAGTATTAAGTCTATGCAGGCTAGGTACTCGTTCGCTTTCTCAGTCTGGTCGGGGAATTCAAAGAAAACTGAACTGTATATCTCTGGTGACATTGGGGACATTAAGGGCGAGTTTGGCGCGGAGCTAGTCTCCGATATTGTTGATAAACTATTGTTTTTATTATTCGGGGACCATAGGTAGGAATCATTCTTCTTTTGATTATTTGCGTAATTAATATTTAGTGTTCTAGCCTTAATTTTCTCTGGTATATTAAATTTGTTACTATCTGTTATGATTTCTTCGACTACTTGGCTGACGGGTCTTTCGCTTTTGTCGATGGTTATAGTTAGAGGCGGATGAGATCGGGTGGTAGGTGGAGGTTGGTAGGTAAAGTCTGATTCATCACATTTATCCCAAGGTTGTGCACTAGGCCACATTGCAGACTCACGCTGTTCAAGCTATTTGAAGATGAAAAGAAATGAGAAAAAATAAATTAGAAACGAATAGTGAAATCAACCATTAGAAATTAAAGTCATGAGAAGTGGATTGATTAATATTACGTGCAAATTAGTGTTGAATCCGATTCTGTATTTACATCATGCATAAATGAAATACAGAATTCGAATTTAATGTTACTGTTATCTGTAACATTCACATGCATATCAATATCACTATATAAGTCATACACTTCACAGGACACCCTTATTTCCTAATGATAAAACAAAAGAAGAACAGAAATAAAACAGAATAATCTACGACGACACACATCAAGCGTGACTAAAATACCACCAAAACCAGTTAATTATTATTATTAAGTTACAAAGTACGTACGGTTGTGAGCCTCTGTAGAGCTGAGAAGCGGTCTTCTTGTGCTGCGGCGGACTTCTCGAAGGCCTCGTGTTTCTTGATGAGAGACTCTACTTCGTCGATAGTATGACCTAGTTCTTGTGACATTAGGTAGGGCTCCTGTGCTATGAGCCAGGCCTCCGCCACTGCGGCGTCGCGGGCGAACTGGTATACCTCCAGGACTGGAAGAGATTAAGCGTAGGTATTTTATATAGAGCTTCAAAGATCTATATTTATAAAAACCTTTTTTCTTGACTCTCGAATGTAAGAAAATATGTAGAAATTCGTCTGAAGGACACAAATATTTTTGTAATGATATTGTAGACCGATCATGTCCATGATAAAAGGATCGAAAACGGCAATTCTTTCAGCACTTCTCAAAATTATCACTTACTGAGTTGAAGGTTCTCCCAGCGTTCTTCCCAGCGGCGTAACAAGGCGTTGCGTTGGTTGGTCAGTTGCAGCAGTTTCTCCTTAATGTCGGCGGACGCATAGTGTTGTCGTGCTAATAGCTCGCGACCCAATGAGATGCAAGCTGAAAAATTGTCCTCGCGGGTATCAATCTCTGCCTTCAGAGATTGGTGGTTGTTCATTAGGAGTTCTACGCCGCTGACGTCACTGGAAATAGGTAGATAGAAGGGTTTTAATAACCATAGTTTATGCATTAACATAATTATGTACAACATTATTGTATGACCATCTTCGCTAAAATTATTTTGGGATACTCGACTAGTCTGAAACTATACTGGGTCCGTTAATAGTAACCTGAGTGACTATGTTTAATCTGCAATAGCATAAGATATGTCCGAAATAACATATTTAATCTAAGTTATATATGCTATATAGACATTATTCAATGAAGTTGATATTTTTTCAGTTTTGAAAAGCAAAATTAGTTGAGTAGGTAGTTACCGCGGTTTCTCCCCGGTGTTCATCTGGCGCACGACGTCGTCCATCCAGAGCGTGAGCGTGCGCACCTGGTTGAGGAACCTGTACAGGTGGTCGGCGTCCTCCAGCTTGGCGGCCCGCGCGCCGCACGCCGCCGACAGCGCGGCCCACGCCTCGCGCACCTCCGCCTCGCGCCGCGTGATCTCCGCCGCCTTCTCGCCCGCGTACATCGCGCCCAGCCGCGCGCACTCCGCGCGGATGGCCTCCACCTGGACACATGCCCGTCTTTACACTACACAACAACTACAACTTTATTACTAAACAATATAGCTGAAAATCTGCACCATTGCGCCATCTTCTATAATCTTACGTACATGTTCTGTACAAGTATCGGTTCATACACAATACACCCATATCCAAACATCAGCTCTGAGTACTTCACATCAGCCCTTTCTCAATATCACCTCAATGAATCAGTAGACAATTTACTCAGATATCTTCCTGCCATTCGCATTTAGACTATTCCTCTGAAAAAGCCCAACTGCCTCCTGAGGCAGTAATATAGCATAGTGTATTCACCTGTCTCACCAAAAATGACATTTAAAAATTCCTATTTCCCATACCTGTTGGTGCAGTGTGCTGAGGTCCTGCATGAAGTTATGGTGTTTCCTCTGCAGAGCTCCGACACTGATGGCATCCCTGCCCAGTTCGTCACTGACTCCGCGCGCCTTCTCATTGACACGTTGGAGCGTGTCCTTGCAGTCGTGGAAGTATTTGTGGAGCTCGCGGGACGCTGCCAACATCTGGTACAGAAAGTCAAAGAAATCAGTGAGTATAGAATAGAATAGAATAGAAAACTTTTATTTCAGACCGGAGTCCATAATTAGGGTTATATACCATACGATTTTTTTACTGATCAACTGATCTGATGGTGTGATCAGATCATTGGTATGTGTTATCAATATAACACATACCACGTCGTGTGACATTTCAAGAGAATCATGTCTATTCATTGATTGGACACTAGAAGTTTATTATTTGGCATATGAGAGGATTGAAAATAATTTAGAATGCTCATAAAGATAAAACATTACAACGTCACTACGTGCAATGTCGTAAAAAAATTATAACAAAATATCAGTTTATACATTTAAAACAGTATTGAATCTGACGAACTCGAAACATCCCTATGATTATAATGTCATGTGTTAATAACTGACCTGTGTCCTAGTCTCAATAAGCTCAAGCAGATCCTGCCAGGTCTCCTTGAGTCCCTCCTTCCACTGCGCGATGGTAGCGTTATCGGAGTGTCCCATAGCGATCATCTGGTCGGCGATACGTTCCGCGGTGGCCACGCGCTCAGATCCAACCGCTTGAGTTTCGCGGGCGAATTCCTTGAAACGCTCCCATAATAACTGTAAGAAAAACATATTAAGATAGTAAGGTTAAATTTAAATCATGCGTGTTGCGATACGATATATAACCACTATTTAAGTGGTTAACTAATTCTATGAAGATCAGTAACTGTAGTGTAGTACTGACTTAACCACTGTTTTGACTGTTTTAAGTTTTTTTTACTGTATACCCACCCTGACGTGTATAGAAACTCTTTATTAAGGAAATAATAAAAGATAAATTGAATCATTCTTCTACTTACGGTGACATGGTCGTAGTCCTGTCCGAGTTCTTGTGAGCTAGCCACAAGTTCTCTCTCGGTGATCCATTGCTCAAGGTCATCAACCTCCCTGGACAGCTGGAAGAGTCGGAGTGCCTCGTCCAACTTGGCGCGTCTCTCGCCTGCCAGATCTTTTAGACCAGCGTATAGCTTGTCCACCTGCGACTGCTTCACTGAGATCTGCTCGCTGTTGTAACAAAAACATTGGTTGTAGATATTGTTTACGTGAAATGTATAGGTATTTCATATAGTGTGATATTTTTTCTGTGCTCTATAAACTTTTGTATATCCTAATGATACATAGCTCTCGCCTTTGTCCCTTGAACTTGGTCGACCTGCGTATTGAACCTCAAATCCCTTGCGTAACACACGACACAGTCACATTACTTTCACACAAATATAGTAAGTTACCTGAGCGGATGTTCATCAGCAGTAAGGTGTCGTACAGTCTCTCCGAGCTGCCTGATAGTATGCGCGTAGTCATCGACCGCCTGCTCCAGTATCTCATGCTTCTTCATCAAGTTCTGTGCGGAGATCTCGTCCTTGCCGCGGTCCTCCACCATCATGTACAGCTCTTGTTCACTCATCCACGCCTCCGCCTCATTCGCGTCGAATAGATATTGCTGCGCCTTCTCCCATTGGGACAGTTTGTTCTTGCGTTCTTCGATGGCATCTGCGAAAACCAAATAAATTAGTAATGCTCCAAATTCTTTACTCAATTCAATTGTTTTCTTAGTTGTGTTTAGTGAAACTCACCCTTCAGTTCTCGCCACCTCGCGGTAAGTTCTTCAATAAGCTGCTTGAACTCGGGCGTATCCTCGTGTCCCTCATCAATCAGCTTCTGTCCGTTAGAGATTACAGTCAGGATCCTCGGCTCGTGGTTGTCGGTCTCAGTCTTGAGCGACTGGTTCTTCTTCTGCAACATCTGCACGATGAACAGGGAGTTGCCATAGTCTGTGGTGGTAGCCTGTGGCATCTTCTCGTGCACCCAGAGCTTCTCATCCTCGACATCGCGGCGGAACTGGAAGGCTTCCTTCTTCTTGGCCAGTTGACGTTGGCGGTCCAACAATGGCGCCTTCAACTGCTCGAACCGCTGCTCCACCGACTTCTTCTTCTCCTTGATCTCGTCCATCTTGTCCGGGACGGTCTTCTGCAAGTATTCAGCCTGAGTCTCCAGTTCGGTGACTTGTTTGGCTTTAACGGCCATCTGTGTCTCGATCATCTGTTGCTTCTGCATGAGAATGTTCACAGATGCCAGATCAGTGCCGGTGTCGGTGTTCTCGATTTGTTTCTCGAGTTCGTTCATCCATGAGTCGATGTCGTCGCAAGTCTGATGCAGCAGAACTTCGCGGTTAGCGTCAAATAGGCGTTCTCCCTTCTCCTTAGTAGTAGTCTGCAGGTTCTCAAACTGATCTTGTAGTTCGGACATTTTCGGGGAGATGATTTCGACAAATTCGGGTTTCTGCTTCATGAGCTCTTCAGCAGCATTCTGTACGGCAAACAGGCGTTCCTTGTTAGCCGCGATTTCTGCTTCGAAAGCTTGATGGCGGGTCCACTTGGAGTGGATGGTCTTGGCAGAGCGGTATGTGTCGTCCTGTGCAGTGACATTCTTCTCCTGCACCCACTCTCCGAGCTCGTCGCAGTCCTGCAGGAATTGGTGCAACTGTAGTTGGTCCTGGAGTTTCTCCATCTGCTGAAGTGCCTTCTCCCGGTTGGCATTGCGCCTGGCGTCGATGTTCTCAGCCTTGCGCTGGATCTTGTCGGCGTCGAAGTGTCTCTCCTCGACGAGTCGGTTGGCGAACTGTACGACGGAGTTGATCTTGTCGTCGTTGGCCTCCATGGTGGTAAGGAAAGCCTCGTGTTCCTTGATCATATTCTCGGCCTGCTCCAAGTTGGTTGGCGGCTCGGTCTTGCCTAACCTGTAAAAGGTATTATTGGTTAACCCTCTACTTTTCAAAAGCATCTGAATGATCGTATAAGCAGCTCGATGAGATTGTACCTGTGTTCCTGGTGGGCCAGTAGGACCTCAGCCTGGCGCGCGTCCCGCTGCAGCAGCTGCAGCTCGAGGCTCTGTGCCAGCAGTTGTTGCCTGTTCTCCCACATCTGTTGTAGCTCGGCCCAGCCCTCGCGCAGCGCCTTCAGGCGCTCGCGCAGGAACATGTACTGCGGGTCGTCTTGGGTGGACGGCTCCTATCGTATACACAGACCAATTAACACAAGTTTTTATTTAATGCGCAATATATGTCTTCGAAGAATTATTGTAATGTCCTAAACCAATATTCTAGTGTATAAAGCTACGTACGGCAGTAATCTTCTCTCCGTACTCCATCATCTTGGCGTACTCGTCCTTGTAGTTGTCGATCTCCTCCTTGATGGTCTGGTGCTGAGACAGCAGCTTCTCTGCCTCCGCCAGGTTTGATGGCGTATCTGACGAATGAAACGAATTTAGTAAGTACAGAAATTAATTAAGAAGCGTTAAATGTGGTAAACGTTATTTGTCCTTCGTACGCACCCTCGGAAGCGACGTCGGTCTGTGTCTTGGTGAGCCAGGCCTGGAAGTGGTCTACGGAGCGGAGGAAGCGGTGCAAGTCGCCAGCCTCTTCCAACTTGGCATCGCGCTCTTTGAGCTAAGGAATTAATTGTACGTTAGTCAAATATCCTCGAAGGCTTTTTGTGCCCATACAATCCACATTTTACAGAACCATTTCTATAAAACAAACTGTTTGTTACTAATCGGGACTTGTTTATTTATTCAGGTGATCCGTCGGCACGTTTGGAGGAGCCAAACATGCAAACATGCCAACCTATTCCACAAAAAAATTCAATATGTCTCTTTTACTATAACTACTATACTCTTTTAATAACTTACCATCTGCGTAAGTTGTTCCCAGTTCTCCGTGATCATGGTGACACGGTCGCGTATGAGCTGTGCCTCCTCTGGGTGGTCTCCCTCGATGGCGTTGGCCTCGCTCTCCAGGGACGAGATGCGCGCCTGGATCGCGGCTAGGTCGCGCTCCATGCCTGATAGGCGACGCTGGAGGGTCATCACACCTAAGAGAGGAACATAGTTCTTAGGATCATTTCAACACGAATACGAGCTTTGATAGACAACAGTTTAAACTCACCTACATCACAGGAGAATATACTACTGTGAAGCTATGATTAAAAAAATATAAAAATAATAAAAGTAATCATTTTTTGTTACACTAAATATACAATGTCCAAATTTATCCCCACTACGACAAATTCTTGGCAAGTTATATAACAACACATTTAAAATATAAAAATCGACCGTAAGTTCTCATTATCTTCGCAAGAATGACTTTGAAATAGTTATTTTTATTGTCTAGTATGAGTCTGTAACCGCATCATCTAGGAAACCAAAGACTGCGTGTCTGTGCCTGATCAAATTACATTACAATCATAACTTAGTAACTAACTACTGTATAAGTACATATAGATATTTAATTTGTCTACATTTTGTTTGATTGCAAACAGATAATATTGATTTCAACTGTATTTATTTGTCTCAAAATGATTTTTGTAAATTAACTTAAATATTTAAAAAAAGTTTAGCTAATGCAACATTATTGAAATTCTAGTAGAAGATTTTATGATTTCCTTTTCATTACATAAATAAAGACCCGCTTTAATATCCTGTAAATTTAGTTATGTACCAGAGATAGAATTCTGACATATCATTACACCTCTGGTAATCAAATCTACCAGCTGTAAGCAAAAAATGTCGACTTACCGTTGAGATCCATCTCCAAGTTGTCTGTCTGTTGCAGGATCCTCTTCTTGTCCTCGATCCAGGAGACAGTCTCGCGACACTCGATGTGGAACGTCTGCACGCCCTGGGCGGACTTCAGCTCGTCCTTCTTGCCCTCCGCCTGTGTTTGTATTGTGAGGATTAGTATTAAGTTGAGTGGTCGTAACTTCGTAGCTAATAGTTTCGAGTTAGATTCCCCAATAAGATTCGTTACTAAGTCGCGAAAAGTGGACATTATCACAGTTCATAATAAACACATCTAAGTTCTAAATTCCCATTTGGAGTGTTTTTTTTGCGCAAAAAAATTACAACATTATTTGGGGACCAGAGATTAGAGTCCCCTAAGATCGGAAAAGGAGGATCCTCCGATCAGGCGAGGTGATCGTGCTTAGCGGGCTGTTTGCCAACAGTGAAAGCAACCAGCCATGTGTGACAAGTATTTCTTTTTATCTTCCCTCACATTTTAAAGGATTGTTACACTATATGCAACCCAAATCATCCCCATCGTGTATTCCTTACCTTCTCCCTGAGCGCGCTCCAGGCGGAGTTGAGTGCAGCCTGCCTGTCCTGTATGCGCGCGGCCTGCGGGTGCTCGACGTGGATGAGTTGGCGCGCCAGTTGGTTCACTACGGCCACTCGAGACGCGTTGGCGTTCATCTCCTTGTCGAAACCGTCGTATCTGTGGGTGATGATTGTGTTAAGTTTCTGTGTGTTTTGTGTTTTTATGTAAAGGTTAAGTAAGATTTTCTGTGTAAGAACTTGCGTTTTGTTGGTATGGTAACAGTCTGGTTTTTTTATCACTATTTAAAATTGTATATGAATTTAATAAAAATAAACATTATCTCTATGCCAAAAATGATGATGACGATGATTATGTCAACCTCCTACTTCTCTCTTTTAAGGCAGATCATGGATCAAAAGAGGATGATGGTGAAGACCAATGTGATCGATAACATACCTGTGCTTCATGATCTCGACATCGTCGATATCCTTGGGCGGCAGCATGGTGTCGAGCATGCGGTCCTTCTCGGCGATCCATTGGTCGGCGGCGTCGGCCTCGGCGAGCAGCTTGAAGAGACTGAGCGCGTCCAGCAGGCGCTGCTTGCGCAGGCGCGCCAGCTCGGCCAGCTCGCCGTGGCGCGCGTCCACCGCGCCCAGCCGGGACACCACCTCCGCGCTCGTCGCGTCCACCGGGGACAGCGCGCCCGCCTGCACACGGATACCGCGTCACATACATGCTCAGCTTTATGCTTCTTATCAAATTAATCAGATAATATTCCTAAAAATAATGCTGATAACTCTTAAATTACCAAGTGTGTTAACTTAAACAAAATCCTATTACGATTAAAACATATCAGTTTAAATAAAAACCAAAACAAGTTTTTTTTCTCAATAACCAAATAGAAATAATATGACAATTCAAATTATCGTATTCAGTAATTAATTCATTATACAGGTTCAATAAAATAACATACCTGTTGTTTAAGTTGCTGAATAACATTGGCGTAGTTCTTGAGTTCGTCAGTAACGTCCTTATGTTTCTTCAGCAAGCTCTGTACTTGAGCCTCGTCAACACCGGTATCCTCAGATGACACCAACCTAGCAAACAAACATTGCACATTATATTCGTAATCCTAAATTAGATTGTTTTTTAACTCTTCCTAAGACTCTTGCAAACTTTATACACTTTGCGCAACGATTACTCAAAACTTAGAAAATATATAAATTTACATACCTGAGTGTATCCAGCATCCAGTTGTCAATATCATCAGCATCAGCGAAGAGTTGATGGTAGCGTACGGCCGCGTCGAGGCGGTTCTTACGCAGGGAGACCAGGTCCAATAGGTGGTTCCATTGGGACAGGATATCCCGGAGACGGTCCTTTAGATAAAAGGTACTTTGTTATTGTATGTTCAAACAAAAATCTTGAAGAATGAGGTTTATAACAAATGTAGAAAAGCATGAATTTGAAAAATAAACCTTGAGTTTTAAGTGGCTTGTCTTATTTTATTTTATATGGTATCTACAATTATAAAAGGTAAGCATATTACCTGTATCCTGTCAGCACCGAAGTGTCCTTGTGAGATGAGTTCGTCTCCGACCGCGGCGACACTCATGAGTTGTGGTTCGTGAGCTTGTACGTCCGCCTCCAGGGCCTTGTGTTTGGAGATCAGGAGGTACACTACGCAAAAGTTAAAGATTGTTAGGTTAGGTTAAAGTCAGTAAATGATTTCATTATTCAGTAGTCTATCGTCAATGATTAATCCCAGTTTTAAAACTATTAGAGGTAAGGTAAGGTCAGTCAACAAAAATATCCTGAATATTGAAACCCCAATATCCTGATTAGGTACCCTGGTAAAGCTAAATGATTAGGCTAATAACATTTGATGCGTCTTTAGCGCCAAATAATAAATAACCAAACGAAAACCAGTATTCTTTTATTTGTTTTCTCAGAAGATAAAAATATCTAATCCAATTTAATTTGACGATTCAAAAGACAAAATGTAGACAGTGAATGACGTCATACCGCACCGGATCAAACAATAAAACCTGTGTTGGAGTTCCTCCCCTTCAATTAAATTAATTAAAACGTAGCGACGACATATTGGCGACCTTATGTCGGTACACTGACCTACTTCTACCTCCGGCAATCACATTACATAGATCAAATAGAGTTGTTCTGTGAAAACTGTCGACTACGCAAATATCTCCATGCCTATAGTAATAAGCACTTTATGTATTGGGATGTACGACATCTTTTTGTTTGAAAACCCGAATTGAGAGTGTATAGTGGCTATGTTCAGGCCTAAATTAGCTCACCTTGACACCTGTGATACGAAACAAAATAAGTTTTATAGCTTTATGTTCAGAAGTAACTTGTCACTAAAATGCTGCTATTAATCTTACTTTTAATACGATATCATAAGTATTATTTTTTACTAGATTCAATTACTTATACAAATGACCTCATCAAATAATTCCAACCCACAACCGAGTTTGAGTAAATAACCATCTATATAGATTACGCAAAAGTAAGAAAACTCACCGGTAGTAAGATCATGTCCGATGTCATCAACGGAGACGATCTGTTCCTTCTCCTTGATCCAGTTCTCTTCGTCGGCCATGTCCCAGTAGAACTGCCACAACTTGCGGCTGTCTTCCAGGCGCTTTCTGTTACGGAATAAGAAATGAATATACTGTAGTGTATGCCATGTTTTATAGGAAATTACTAATTACTATAAAGAATGTCAAATTGCAACAAACACAAAGTGATTACAGAAAAGGGGCACCTATTTTTATACAAGACATATTGTTGCCATAAAGTAAAATATTTTTTGCTTTGTGCTACTTCTATAGGACCACGGAGAGTTTATGTAGATATATTTTATGAGAAAATAGCTCTAAAATATATGTGACAATATAAGCGTAAGTACCTGCGTTCGACGGCGAGGTGTACGAGTTCAGCGTACGCGTTCTCGAGTTGCTGTATACGTTCCACTGTGATGGCGGGGTCACACGGCCTGTAACCACCTTCCTCCTGCTCCAGGAAGCGCTGGGATTGGCCGACTACCACCTAAGGAACCAAGAGACCATGTTTAATTACTAATGTCGTTAAACACTTATCAAAGAACTTTAAAGAATACTATTTAGATCTTTTTCACAAAATTTTGTTCTCTTGACTGGTCTAAAAAAATTACATAGCTTTAAAAATATTCAAAGTAATTAATCTGCAAAAGTATGTAGTATCGATAGGTAACCTATTTTATGGATTTAAGGATTATCCTTGCTCCTAGGTAAACGTAAAGTTACAAAATGGTAGATTCCTCCTGAATAAGCTTCTTTGACTAACCTTGACCCTCTCTCCCAGTACATTGATGTCAGCCTCTACAAGCGCATGTTTCTGCAGTAGATCCTCGACGCCCATGAGATGCTTGCCGTAGTCGTCCGTCAGCAGACGCATCTTGATCTCCTCCATGGAGTCCAGGATGTATAGCATCTCCTGTTTAGGAAATTGTCATGTTAATATTTAGTTCGAAAAAATTTTGCACAAAAACATAAGCAATGTTTTTGCATATTTTCCGGACATTTAATTTTAATTCACATTTACAGAATAAAATTAATGGTGAAAAAGCAGTTGTAGGAAACAAAAAGGTCAAAAATTTCAGTCATTATTAGTAGACTTATCATCACCAATCTCTTCTCAAATGGAGAAGGAAAATCAATTTGTAGAATATAATCTCTATAGATGTGAAATAAGTGTTATGTTAAATGACCTGGAAGTTCTGTTGCAGCTGCAGACTGAGCTCGAGCCGTGCCCGTCTGGCGCGCAGTAGTTCCAGCAGGTACGCCCACAGACGGAGGACATTGTCGCGCCGCGCGCATACACGCTCCATGTCGTGGTATCTGGACACACATTGTTCTTGTTAGAATACTTCATGTAAAAGTAATTAATATTATTTTTATAAGACGACATGTGTGATGTGTCGTATCATACCTACGTATGACAAGTGCAATATAGGCGAAAGTTATTGTACACTTATTACGATAGTCATGCATCTTTATTACAAAGATTTTTGTATGAGTTAACTTGCTCCTCTATATTACAATTCCTTACTTTGAAAACAAAGTTCAACTATAAGTCTTTTAAATTTCAGCGAAAAACGTATGTCAATATGTTTTATTGGGATCAGTTTAATTTATTATATACTAGCTTTTACTCTATCATCGCTCAAACCGAGTGAAAACAAAAAGTACTCGAAAAATGAAAACGACATAAAACATGTCATACCTCTCAGCCTGCAACTCAGAGCATACAGCAACGACAGCTTGTACACGTTCCTCATACGCGAAGATATCAGTTTCGATAGCCTCATGTTTCTTAGCGGCCGCCTCTACTGCCGCCAGGTCGAAGCCGAAGTTGTCCTGGCTGACCAGACGCTGGTTCTCAGACAACCATGTCTCACGCATCTGAGCCTTGCGGTTGAATCTGTAACAAGTATTGTTTAATAAATAACTATCTAATGTCGACAATACAGGAGAATGGAGAAAGAGAGAGAGAACATATTGTGCTAACCCTATGTACTTTATTCCTACCTAAATCTTATAAAGACGAAGAAAATGTTATATACTGATAGTATCCATAAAATATATTAAGGGTTTTATGTTTAACAGACTTCGAAGAAAGAATTCATGAGAATAAATATTAACATTATTAAAAGACAGCAAACACGGTAGTAAAAATTTAAATGTCATCTATGTAATAAAGTCATGGAAGCGCAAATGTCAAACTTAGCTCTTTAGTTCTTACCACCAGTTTGTTGTTATAATGAACATGAACACAACATTGTCCACTGCTTTTTCATATTTTTTAGTCAACTTTGCCTTGCTTTCTACTACTAACTAGCCAACTAACTGGGCACCAAAACAATATAAATTCCTAGCGACTATTTAGGAATATAAGGTCATAATTAGTTTTGTGTAAGTCAACATACCTGGCAGCAAGTTGTTCAAGTTTCTCCTGCCTGATGAGTTCCTCTCGGAGTGCGAGTTCCCTCTCGTGTTCTGACTTCTCGAGCCTCTCCCAGGCGCGGTTGATGTCGTGGATCATCTTGCCCTCGCGAGGAGTGTACGGCTTCTGGTTGGCGGCGCGCATACGGGACTGAAGAGTGAATAGAAGGACTTCCAGGTTACCCTTCTCTACAAACCTGAGAGAATAAAAACAATATTAGAAGCATAGCACATAAAACAAAATAATGCCTAAGTGAAAACAGTAGTATATTCATTAAAGAAGCTGGATGTCTTCACAAAGCAGGAGCAATGAGTAAATAAGGATGTATTTGATTTGTGTTAATATAAAATTGTGTGTATGATTGTATATGCAAGTTAAATTCTTAACAATGCGTCGCATTGTTTACTTCTTAGAAAAATTCTGTACGAGATTTAATGTAAACAACATGTAAAATTGGAATTGTTTATTTTTGCTCCCACACAAGTCATATAATATACTACATATATGACTTAGATGAACTCAATGGAAATTCTGTTTTCTGTATAGAACAATGTACAACAACATCATTTGAGCATGAAAGATAGAATAGACACCAATAGCTAATAGGTCAACATGTTTTAATCTTATTTCTTTAAGTGATTTTTAACCTTATTATTTTATAAAACAGTCGAAAATCAATTGAAGAAGCTTATTGATGAAGAACTAGCGCCTGTATTCGCTCTACGCTTTTAATAAGTAAAGAAAGGATAAAATATTCCCTGTTCATAAGCCTCATTGCTGTTCACTTACTCCCATCATGACAAGTTAACTTTACACTTACTTAGGTGGTTTCTCCACAGTGCGGTAGTTGGCGAACTGTATGAGTTGCTGGCGGACGCCCTCCAGTGAGTTCGCGAATGTTCGGTCGCCGAGCGCTTCGATAGTACGCTCGATCCATTGCAGGAGATCGCTGAAACAAAAATGTAATGTCTTAATACAATGTTGACCGACTTAACGTTAAGTTTAAATAAACCATTCACATATTCTATACAATGTTCATTTCATATAAGACTATTTCAACTTTGTCATTTGCGTGAAGTTAATTGGTTGTCCTCTAGAAAAGAACGAGCAAGAAATGGAGTATACCATACGACAGTTCATTTTAAAAGGGTCTCGTCATTAATGCTTTTATAACATAGCTTAACGACCACCTATAAGACTCACCACTTAAGAAACTTCATAAAATTAACAAAGTAACCTTAATTAACTATGATACGGACCTGGTAAGCGACTCGTACTCCTGCATCATCTTGTCGTTCTCCATGGCGATGCCGACGACCTTACCGATTCTCTTGCCCTGCACCGTCTCCTGCTTCATCTTACTGAAGTAGTGGTAGTACGTCACCACGTATGTGATGATTGACTTCTCGTCGGGGTGGTCGACGGCGATATCTGTGAGAAGGATAACAAAATCAGTATATTTATTTGTACTACAAATCATTTTTCCTGGGCTGACAGTAGTATACCAATAACTGTTGTAAAATTCAGTTGAATGTCAGTATTTTATGAGACCACTGATATCTGTCCTCCACAAACCATTTTGGGTGATACCACATTTCTGGTGTCAGATTCGTTAGACTTCTGACTGGCCTTAACGACAGTAAAAACTTCAGTAGATATGTTTCGATATACGAAAGTGACTTTGTACTCACCTTCAGCATCCAACAGCTTGGTGAGTCCAAGTTTCTCTTCGGCGACATTGAAAGCATTGTTCAAGTTGTGCATGGGATTGCTTCTGTGCAGTTTGTCAAACTGAATAAGGTCGGGTCTGTGCTTGTGTATGATCGCGTTGAACGCGAGCCCGTCACGCCATGAGGTCGTAAAGTTTCGGACGTTAACATTGTTGTAGCCAGCTGTCTTCATTTGACACCAGAGGAGTAAAGCGTCCTTGGCTGACTTTGTCTCCTTGTTGTCTGTTTCCTCGATTGTGATGTCTTGGATCTGTTGCAGAGAATGGCAATGATGAATGAGTTGGACTTTGACAAGAATAAGAATGTTATAACGTCAGCGACAGGCCTATGCATTGTCCTTTAAGTATATTTTTTTTAAATTACAAGTAATTTGTATTTGTTCAACAGAAGGGTTATTTATAGTAACTGCAGTCCAAACGTAGCCACTAATGATTAATTGTTCAAATGTACAAGCCGCTACTCTATATTTAAATTAATGTATAAAATGTTTAGTATACCTTATACCAAAAGCATATGTTTATCACCACATTTATTGAGATTAAAAATCAATGTAAAAGTATTTATAGACTTTGTATGACAATTTAGGTTAAACTACATAAATTAATTTCCTTCCCTATTATGAGCAACTTCTGATTAGGTGTTGGAGGCAAATTATCCTAGTATGTGTATTGTATAAATGACAAGTATACATATTTTATTAACTTTATAACCTTCCACAAATCTATTGAAATCTGTACCTAAATAGATTTGAGTAGGAATGTCAACAAAGATGAATGAATCGACAACCATTTTCTTTAGACCCATAGGATATCTCTATCTAATCTAGTCATGATTTACGTTTGTGATAAGCACAGATATAGAAACAAAACTACACTAAACACGTTATTTTAGGGACTATAATAGCACATAACCCAAAACAATTAAGTTATCAGTCACTTATTTTTTGTTACTGTACATTGTACGTCAATTTCAAGAAGTGATTAAGCTAATCGGTGCTCTGAGACATATGTATCGCAATACGACCTTATTTAAGGTCGATATCATGTTACACGTAACATATAGACATTTGAATATTCTTAGTACTTTACATATAAGATCAAGTTACCTGGAAGCGCAAAATGATGGTCCAAATAAGACCGAGACTGAGCCTCGGGTTTCCGTCGACGATGTCGTGGGATCCCATGTTCTCCAAATGCACTCGTTGTTCGCGCAAGAACTGCAACGCCTTATCCACATTCTCCAAGCAATGGATACGCATCTTTCCTTTTGTTGGGCGTGGCTGCAAATGGGAAATGTAGTGTAAGTAAAGTATACATCGTGGGCCTAAATAAAAATGTTTAAAAGATGAAGCCTAAATGAAATATGAATGAATAAAAGTCACCTAACGTTATATCTTAACGTTAGGTTAAGATATAACGTTAGATATAACATTACTATAAATATTATCAGTCCAAAACAGAAAAGACTCAGATATTGAAACCTAACGCATCCTAGAGATATGAATCACTTGATTTCAACAAGGGATGAATCGGGAAATAGGATGGGGAAGTTATGAGTCACGCGGATGCGAATTTATTACTAGAGATGGTTTTTAAATTACGTTTATTATAAACTAGCATCCTACTAATGAACCAGTTTCTAACAATTAATTATCTAAAAAAAAATTAGTAGTAGCTATACAGTAGTCCGACAGGTAACGAAGATCATAAAGACGAAATTTATTGGTTCTGCACTATTGACATTCACAATTCATCAGGCGTATAGTTGTGAATTGGATAGAAACATCTTTATGAATTAAATATAAGTGAGCTAGCGACAAAATATGTTCATATTTACGAACAGTACACGGACCGTATTCGTCCACATTTCAAGAGACTAATAGAAAAGTCGACGGGCCTTCTACACACATTGTTTTACTTACATTGTCTTAATAAAACCGCAATTTTGAAAGGTAATAAGGTACAACAAAAACGTGTTCTTACTAAGAACAACATAATACACGGATAGCTATAAAACAGTTTTTTACATGTTTGGGCAAAACATTTATCGCGGAACGACCAAGACCATGGCGAGAGTGCGTGACTTCAGGCCATGCTAACTATCAGATAGGATAAAATAAACTTTATAGCCGCATTACATGATGAAAGGTGACAGCCGCGTGATGTTTGTCACGACGTTCAATACTGAACCATTAATCATGGTGCTTGGCTATGCTCTGCGGTATAAAGTTTCTCTTTATTCGAGCGACAACATTGACGGCTCTTCGCCAGAGTTAAGGCAATTCATTGTTGATTAAAGTGACTGATGTACAAAGGAACACTTTAATTGAAATGCCAAGACAACTACAATAAACCCCATGTACGATCTATTGAAAAATGCTTACAGTAAGAGAATACGAGTATTATGCTACAAAATACATTTCTGTGTTCCCGACAATAACCTTAGGACGTCTGCATAGGTCGTAAATAACAGAACAGTGGACTATAAATAATGCAGTATGTTTTACCGAGAGCAAATACAAGAATTCAAAATACGTTTCGGCTTGGTCGCGTCGCCAAAGCCTGGATAAGTCCGGTTCTACAGGTCGAAGCTGGCTATTGTTTGCTTTTTATAACAACCTACGTATAAGAACTTGAATATAACATAGATTGGGTTACAATGAGAGGCACTAAATAACTTAGACGGTTTTGTTTACGGGTGATTGCTTTAGACTGGTTCGACTCTAGGTTGAAGTATAACAATGGCTCTTTAGTCTGTCCTATATAAAAAAAAGACCGTTTAAGTAAGAAAACATAATGCAATAAATGCTTCATGATGTACCAGATATTATTTTGCAAGGGTTAAGGGACATATTTTCTGATATTAGGAAATCTTCGAGACAAAATTGCACTGGTTGGCTAAATAAATTCTCACATAAACAAAAGTAGTTTAACGGCTGTACCAGTTTTCTACTTTCATTAAAGGTTCCCACAACCCATAATAAGTTTAATGGGGACATGAAAACGTTATAAATAGGGCTGCAGTGTGCGTATCGTAAATTTTATGGGCAATTTTGATTTTCATAAAAACAACAAGTTTATTTTATTAAACTTAGCTTGAAATGTGATCATGAGTTTTTAATTGCAGATCAGTTATAACGTATTTGTAATATGCAATTGGACGGAATCGTGACGTATTTACTTATCACGAAGATACATATCTACATAAAATCATGCTGCGCATAACATTTCGTCATCTACTAAAAAATTACCTACCTATTTTCTGATTTTCTTGTGTACTTAACTAGACTATTGTTTGTAGGTACATGGGAAGCAGTCCAACCTTAATTCTAATAACTAGTTTGAGAAACATATCAAGGGAATATTTACTTCTTATTCATTCTTTGAGATGATGAAGCAGTTTTGGTAAGTCCAAGTTAGAATACAAGGCGTATTTTAAAAAGACGAGTAATTCACCTTTAAAGATTTGGAGAGAAGATGAACCGATGTCACATCTTTACGTCATAAGTAACCTAACCTAACAGGTTACCGCAACTCTTGTTAGTAAGTGTTAGAATACCTTCCGCGTCCGTCTAGACGCGCTAAACATGGTTGGAAATGATACTAATGTAATTAGAAGTAGCTAGGCAAGAGGTACTGATTGCAAGGGTGAGATGTGGTATACTAAAACTTTTTTGAAAAATCTTTTCAAAAAAGTTTCAGTAAGAAATCAATTATGGGTTACAGATCAACCAAGAGATAATTATGAATAGGATGTGAAATGAGTCTATGTTTAAGCGAAGTACCCACCAATCTTTCTCCGGAGAGCACTTCGAGCAATTTGATGAGTTGCTTGCCATCCCTCATGTCGACATAGAGGTCGCTGATACGGCACCCGACGCGCACCAAATGAGAGTTCACCCATTTTTGAAAAGTTTTCTTCTGCACACTTTCTCGTTCGTCTGTCAATAAGTAACATTTGTTAGTTCTGCATAGCTATAAACATATTTATACAGTAATTTTAACAACGAGTAAGTTGGATAAATACATAGGCCCCAAAACCAAACCCTGGGGGACGCCACGCTAATCAAATTGTTGTCCATAAATCGTACCAAAATCCCTAAACATAGGACAGACATAATTTCGAGAAAATACTTTATCAAACAGACCTGAAAACCAAAAGTAATGGACATAATAAATACTCATAAAAATTAAGAGAAAAACGATAAAAATAAGGTAGGGAATGTTAACACATTAACCGCCAGTGGGGACGACCGCGTCGCGGCGACCAGATAGCTGGCTTCGCGGGCCGTATCTCTGGCTGTGGAGGCTCCTGCCCGTCCGGGATCACCGTCGACATCGTAATAACTCACACGACAATACTTCAATGAGGTGTTAGGTTCGGAATATAATATGTGTAATTCGAGACATGGATCAGATTGCTATTCGCACGCTTCAGAGCGTAAAGAATCAGTCCTAGATGTGCAGGGTGTTGTACTGAGTACTGAGGTAACATTTATTTTTTAATTTCTAGGAGCAAATACTGCACAACTATCGCTTTTTTAGCAATAACAAATACAGGAACCATTCAGCCCATCTTTCGAAATGAAGGTATTCTACAATTGCATTATATGATAGTGTATAAGCTGTTAAAGGTACAAGTTCTCTAACTCAAATAATGTCTATAATATTTATAAAATAAGGACTTCACATTGGTAATTAATGAACAGCATATAACTGTTGACATTAATAAAGCCCGTGTAGAGCAGTGCCACAAGGAAAATTAAATAGGAAACTATTGGCTTTATTATATAAATGGTACCTATTTTAAAATAGATACATGGCATAGGTATTCTAAAAACTAGTTACAAAAATCCTGTTTAGATCGAAGTCATCGACACTTATCTGTCCATCCGGCAGAGAAAAGAAAATCCAAACTGACGCAATCCAATCCAAGGCACAACACTGAGAAGCACTGATAACACAACACTACGAACCTCTTAGTTCTATCACGACCTTGTCATAATACACGTCTAATCCAGGCACTTCGATATCTACTCCTTTTTTAATCAGCTCGTATCCCTCGGTGGATGTCATGTCGCCAGCGACGAGCGGCGACTGAACCAACGTCCCAGGCCAAAGACGAGAAGAATTAGAGCGACAAAATTCAACTACCACTGGACAAGGATATTCGATACCAATGCGCCAGATGTCGACAACTCAGGGCAGGTTTTAATTTATTAGCACATTCGTCACACTGTTGATAGCGTTGCTACACATTTGTGTTAACAACTAACACCGTATGAGACGCGATCAATTTTTTAACAAATATTACCCAGGTTACGGCTAAAACGGCAATTTTTGATTGGTGCTACGAGAAGATTCGGTTGAAATAACAGATAACACCATCAATGATAAGAATAGGCGTCAGGTATCGTGGAATCGATACTTTAACGAAAGTTTAAAGTTTTTACTGAGTTTCAGTTTATTTCCTAGCTTCCAAATGTTTATAATTTTAACCAAGGTTTTAAACCCCGTTGTTTAATACGGAAAAACGGATGCTGCGGTTTGCGATGTTCGATAAGCTACGTTACATAGGATTCTGAAATACAGTAATGTTATGGTTGATATGGTTTGAATTATACAATAACAGATGCGTGTCAAGGTTTTGACCTCTGAGGTGTTATCTAAAACTAAAATAATCCTACATTTTGTTAGATAAGTCTATTTGCATGCGCCGGTCATTGAACCTACCGTTGCTATGAAGTAACAATGTTGTCTGGTGACAAAGTTAATGTTTAACGGCACAAAATATTTCTGTATTTATCTACGTATCGCTCCCGTTTCTGTAACCTTATCAAAGCAATCGGCATAATCTTATCAATAGGTGAACTGACACATATTCCAATAATCTTTACTTGGTATGTACTAGTAATTAATTTCTATAATTTTATCGTTGCCTATCACTGAAAGCATTACTGGAACTACTTCAACTGGCTATACAAAGGGTACTTGTGTGAGATTTTCTCCTATGCGTTCAGAAGTTCATTTTCCCTCCTTGACAATCTACGTTGATGTCTTTCAGGCTATAAGTATGTATGTACAGTGCCATTATAGGTAAGGTAAAAGGTCGGTAGACAAAAGGCTTTCGACGTCATGTCAGCCGGAAGATTCCTACTGTTGAGTACAACACCTACGCAAAGCGATGGGGTGGATGAAAGGCCCACCCTTGCTATTCATAGACGACAGCACAAAAAGGTTTGTTCCATGGAAGTTTTTGATGGCTTGGTAAACGGAATTCGGCTGGAAGTAGGTACTATTGCAAAATATTGCAAGTTACTGCTACGAAGTCACGAAAGAGACTATTTACTTGTAGATTAGAAGATCTAGAAGAGTGAAAATAAGACTACACGATATTGGCCACCGAAAATTATCATTATAAAAAAAGGTTACCAAATCATGGCAAAACAAGCTGTTTTAGAAAAAAAAACTCATGTTGCAAGACAATCTAAACAGCTTATTCGCTATGATCGACATTTGTAGTTCTTGAAATGAAATCCAAAGTTGTCAAGTAGTCTTTTCATTTTCTGACGGGAAAGTAAGTAAGTATGCATTGGTAGGGTTTACTCTTAATAATACTCAAAGGTGACAACATTATCAACCCACCTGCTAACGCCTTAATGCGCGATCGTTCGAATAGCCTCGACGACGAATTGCCGCCATCGTACTCGAACTCGTCGATGATCTCCTGACCATGGCCGATGGACGGGTCCCAGCGGGACACCGATATGTCGGTCGTCATCGCGACCAACCTCTACCTCGCCGCCACGCTCAACTATCTGGAATGAGAACGAGAAAACACCCATTAGGAATTTACTACAAAAATATCAAAATTAATTAATTAACCGCAAAGTCAATTAGTAACAAAATTTGAATCACAGAAGTGTCAAAGATAACCCACATGACAACAACATTGCTTTGACTTTAATAATTTTAGAAGGGTACCGGAATAGATATGTTTACTTAACATTCTAGGACAAATACTAACAGTATTAAATAAACTAAAGAGTATTATAAAGAGACAGGTACAAAAAAGACACAAAAATATAGTCCCTAAAATAGCTGTCAGAGCAGTTCAGTCGACGCACCCTAATCCAGTGACCGGTGACAATATCATCGTTGCGAGAGGGTTGCTTTAACGGTCACCGAGTCGCTTGTCAAGCGATCAATTTACTGGTACCTTTTTTGGCTTCCTACCTACAGTATTAGGGGTTACTTGATAATTCAATAGTTCAGTTCAAGGGGGGAAAATCATCGAATGACTGCTCCCGCCTGGGTGAGGCGGGAGGGAGTGTCAGACTCTTACTGACTAAAAACCCCCCGTTCCTACTTCTGTACGTCGAGCCGGAGCCCCGGTAACCCGTTAGGTTCTCAGCGACAAGTTGACTAAGGATATTGGGTAATCTTGAAAGCAGTAGAAAGGAAACAAGAAGTAAAAGAATGTTGACCAAACTTATCAATGTTGATAAGAAATATTGCTCATACATTTGTTTGGTTTTTTTAGCGTTAGAGATTACGTAGGTATCAATTGGATGCAGAATTGTTACAGGTTTGTTCATGTTCACATTTTCATTCCCCTGTATCACAAGGTTAATACGACCTTATCGTCATTATGTTGGCCACGGACTTGAACAGATTACTAATATCATCATAAGTATTCTAACAACACTTAACACTTCAAGCAATCCTAGTTGCTTGAAGTGCTTTTGTAGAGATAGCACCAGATTGATATTGGACTACGTAATAAATAAGATTATTAGATATTATTTAATTAATTTAATTGGATAGCAACAAGACAACCTGACATCATGTTTAAGACTGGCAGTCCAGTCATTATGCATGTACCTATCGATAATTTTGGAACCAATCTCATAAATGATGATATCAACAATACATACCAAATATAGACGAATGGACCTTGGTTTGTAACTTGTGACTCAGTCACATTTATATTTAAATAAAGACGACCGTTTCTACTTTGTTGCATTTTTATTCAAAGGCATCCGATCTAATAGAAATCCATTTAGTTCAATGTCAATATAATAGTGGATTATTCTTCGATTTTAAAACCATGAAGACTGCAATTGCGGTTTACGACTTTCCCCATCGATAGAAACCAAAACTTATGCAACTAGATATTTATTGTTTTACGTTACCTTGAATTTTCCGAATAACAACCGTAAAAGTGATCACAATTATAATAACAAAACAATTTCACAAAAATCACTTTAAAAATTGCATTCACAGTCTAAAGACAGAGTGTTCTATAATATTTTTGTTATTCCGAATGACATCACGTTGCCGGCCGGTGATAAGATTAGATAACTGCTTTCAAGACTAATAGCCGCACCTAAGTGGCTGAACCAAGTCGATGTGCCATTTTATTAGTGCTATAACAAAAACTACACGCAATAGCAATTTGGAGCAAGATTCAGTAGGTAGTTATTAGGATTTGAGCTTACACAGGATTTTGTCTAAGACACAACACTGTTAATTACGCAAACAGTAATAATTTTGACACATTGCAGCTAAATGTCCAAAGTTACTGCTCTTAGCACTCGCTCGTGTGAGGAATTTGCATAAGAACCAGTTTCGAAATAAAAGCGTTAACGTACGAATACAACAGGATCAATAATGTGAGGTTGCGTAACTCCATGACTCATTAAAGTACACTCCGGTGCGGAATCGCCACATTCAGATTTCTTGTTTACGAACTGCCTCCTACTTCTCATACACTAACATTTTAAATTATAGCTCGTGGATGGTATTACTCACGGAGGTTACAATTAAACGTTAACCTTGACAAATTGAAGATAATTTGAGCGCTTCTACTTTTTATTCGACATAATTGTTGATAGCGGTGGCTGTATAACGTAGACGTAACGTGGTGATATGCTCTACTGTTCAATGGTCAAGAAATGAAGCATGAAATGAAGCGTTATTATAAGCTATAACTAAAAGCTGTAAAAAGCAACCGGTCTAAGTAAGTTATGAATTTTACTCGTAAACTTGGTAAATGATTTGTTCGCGTTATTTGGTAAAGCGGGTATAATTCAGTCGCGCACTGAGGGTGACCTTCTCGCATAATGGCTCAGTTAACGAAGGTCCCTCGAGTTGACAGCCACAATAGAAATCTATGTCGTTGCTGTGACCACATGAATTACGCACGCTTAGCCCCTTATTATCATGAGGACAGGCTTATCTTTCAACAAAGCATAATGAGCAAAGATATAAATATTCATGTAGAACAGCTTATGAATGATCATTTGATATCGAGTGCTGGAAGTACTTTCTGAGAATTCAATACACGTGAAGAAACAATTTCTTTCATTAGGCTAATCTACCGTGTCTAATTTTCCCAATACAGTCAATAAAGTATCATTTAAACAATGGATCTTTTACATCATCTCGTATTTCAGTGAGAATATTGCCAGACAGACGTCACTTTGAGACAAAAGTTAACAATTCACACAAGTTTTTGTTATAAACACAACTGAGAGCTCACAATGGTATCTTTTGCGAAATCTAACAATATTCTGGGACACGAAAAAAGTACATAGTAGGTAGGTACTCTTATCAAATGTACCATCACCGTCCAAAATTAGCCAGATTAAAGGCGCGCGCTCAAACAAATGGAGACAACAGAATATGGAAGAAGAATAAAAATAAAAACTTAAACAGTGAAGACTTTTGTAAAAATAGCTTACCCTTCCTGCAATCAGATTTATAATCGGTCAGAATTCGAATATGTACAAGTATAAGATTAGAAGGACTCACGATAAACCACATCGTTCTTTTCAAATCTAACTGCACCTCAGCATAAATAAAACATTCGGATCAAATTACAGTTCTGCATAGTTCCGAGAACACGGTACACAGTTGTTCCATAGGGTATCAATAACAATATACCATTACAACATAACTGCTTGGAGTTTCGCACTTTCCATCACGTAGCGGATCCGTCACGAAGTCCTATTTACATAATTAGCATTCTATTTATAAGTAACACCCATTCTCATGGAGCTGTTTACCTACATACGGTTAATAGGGACGATTAGATGCGATATGCACCAAAACTATAGAATATTAATGAATGCCTAAATGAAAATATTCACTAGTTACTTGAAAAGTCAGAGTCCCCCAAAAGAAAATTCAAGCAATGCTAGGTGGATTAAAAATAGCGTCAATTTAGAGACTCCTTATTCAATTGCACATAGTATATGTTTGAATCCTGCTGTAATATCCTAGCTAATCGATACTCTAACTAGCGTATCTAGCTTCACCTTTGAAAGAATTTCAATGTCACTAAACAATACTTTGAACTCAGCTCAAATTATACCGGTTTTGCTAATGTATTTTATCAACGGTAACCGTTTGCGAGTCTCCAGACAGCACCTTATCACAAGATGGCGCCCCAACTGCCATTATCAGGCCACTAAATGCATTGTAAAGATTTTTAGTACAAAAAGTAAGATGATGCATCCTGTTCTACATACAAGCATCATGATGTCAGCAAATAAAAATAAAATACAACAAAAGCAATAAAAATGTTGAGCCGGTCTCATTATTTATACCGTACTTAATTAAGACTTCCTTTATTACAGCACAGATAAATAAATCAACAAATTATTACCAAAGAAGAAAGAACAATCACCTCCAATCTCCAAGTAATTTCCAAGTTAATCCTACAGGGATTACTGAAGATCGGACGTATTTCATACAAAAACTCAAGGTTAGGTGGATAGATATAATTTCACGGTCAGTGTTTGTTTGATATTACGTGGGTTCTGAATTAATTTACATTAGTATCACTACTGATACGCTTTCGCCTTATTACATAAATACGTGTGGGTAGACAAACTGAATAAATCTCTACCAATACAATATAGCAGACGAGTGTCATGCATGATTGACGAACTGTTATGTACCTAACTGAATTCCGACGATTGGCGCAGAATCTGTAAGTATTCAATTTATATAAATTCGGTGTCATATTCGTTCTTCGGTATTTTTATATTCATATTTCATATATTGGACTTTATTACAGATTTTTTTGCCTTTTAGAACCCCATTACATCTCAAAGACTATTTACAGACTATCCAGACCAGAGGACAAACTGAAAACAAAACTAATCCAATACACCGAAGAAATACAACTAACTTACATGAACTAATACAAAACTGTGTTAGTATTATTACATAAAGTTTAGATTAAGCTAGCTCGAATCAAAGAAGCAACAAAAGTCGAACAAAGCAAGTGTATCGAATAGGCAAGTCGACGCGGCCGTTGACCTCGGCAAGTAGACATGGCGTCGTCAATACACCATAGCACACCATAGCCAGCCATTACAATCATGGAACTACGTAATGGGGTGTTCACGAGGAAAATAATTGCTACTATTCAATGATCCTTTCGTGATATTAAATGCAGCAATTTTTTTATATAAAGTTTGAGTTAATAAATGAAATAATAACAAAAAGCAAACAAAATGTTTCTTTCATAACATCATTACAAAACATCAATCACTCCATAACGTCGACTTTATTACGTTATATTGTGTTAACCTTTGATATTTAACCGTATCTCGATTTAGGGCGTTGTCTACCCTTGAACTCGCATACACACCTAAACTTTAGCGCGTTTGAGCCCACTAGCCCAGCCTTTAATATCAAATCATAGCACATGTCAGCTAATCACTTTAAGACAGGTTCATATTATTATTATGTTTCGAAACCAAGTATTACCGACTTCTATAAATCACTTAGGCAGCTGTATTTT